TAACCACGGTTCTCCCTCAGTAATTCACAGAGGAGGATTGTTTCCAGAATTCCCTGCAGATACCAAAATCTGGAGATGTTCAGTTTCCTTGCATAAAGAGGCATATCTGCATAGAGCCTATGCACATCCTTCTCTATACTTTAATCTCTAGATTACTTACAATATCTATGCAATGTAAACGCCATATCAGTAGTTGTTATGCTGCATTGTTTGGGAAATAATAAGAAAAAAAATCTGTACATGTTCAGTAGAGACACAATTTTTCTCCTAAAGTTCTCTACCCACAAGTTAGTTAAATTTGTGGAACCTGTGGATACTGAGGGCCAACCACACGTCCATATATTTCTTTGGGGAGAAAATAATATCTCACGTGAGCAAATGAAAGAATGTGGTATAAGTAGGAGGATGCAGTGAAACTCGAGTAGCATTGCCCAGTCTCACTGGTGCCTGAGGCATAGCTGTAAAGCAGCATTAAACAGGCAGGGTGCAGTGGCACATGCCTGTAATCCTAGCAGCTCGGGAGGCTGAGGCAGGAGGATCGCAAGTTCAAAGCTAGCCCCAGTTGCTTAGCGAGGCCCTAAGCAACTTAGTGAGACCCTGTCTCTAAATAAATATATATATAAAAAGGGCTGGGAATGTGGCTCAGTGGTTGAGTGCCCCTGGATTCAATCCTCAGTGCCAAAAAAAAGAGGCATTAAACACATGTCAGTACTGCCCTGAGTCTTTCCTCCTGAGGCACCAGAAGGATTCCAGGAAGATTGAAAGGGGGTTAATGATATATTGGTGATGTTGAAATCATCTTGCTTACACAAATAATTCCCTTCTCACATGCTGGGAAATCCTGACCTAGCACAAGTTAGTTGAGCTCTGGTCCTTGATTTCCTCCACCCATGGGATGAAGGCATGGAGCTAGAGGAAGTCTGAGGCTCCTTTCAAGCCTCTGTCTTCATGTTGTTCCATCATAGTTTCATCATGGAATGGAACTGATCCTCAGAAGACCTGGAGATGAGGTCCCCTCTAGGTAACTCCTCACCTCTTTCAACTCTCCTGAGAAGACACTCATTCACTCAGAATACATTTATTGGTTGCCAGCTGTGTCCAGATAATGAGACACTGTCATAGTGTCTTAGTGGGGATTGTCATAGTCTGAAGGGCCAGGGAAGGTGGTGGGGGTGATGCACTTTCTTGGGCATCACAGAGGCAACAGAGGAGAGATGGCATTTGGGAAGCCACAGGGGAAACACAGAAGACATCAAAGAAGGGCCAGCCAGAGTATGGGACTCGAGGCTCTTGCTCAGCCAGTTGATACTGTCCACCAGCCACTGCACTAAGCTTGACCAGCTTGGACTAGGCCTGTATCCATCTCACCATTGATTTATTTAATCCATCCACCCAAGCATTCATTCCTTCATTCAATTATAAATTAATACTTATTGACTACTCATCTCTGTTTTAGTTTAGGAAGTATCATCATGAACATGAGGTCCTGGCCCTCAAGACTTGGTATTTTAGTTGGGAAAAGAGGGGCTGGAGGAGGAATTCAGTGCTTCCCTGCAACTAGCATGCCCTGGGCCCTGGGTTTGACTCCCAGCACTGTTAAAAAAAAAAAAAAAAAAAGAGGTCAAATTAGAATAGAATTCAGGCAATACACTTTATAAACCTGACAAGTAAATAAATTAAAGCAGACATAAAGTTCTACAGAGAACAAAGGCCATGAAAGAGAAAATGAGCAGGTGATCAGACTGAAACTTTGAGATGTCTTCACATGCCTTGTCCTTGGGGTTCTCCTATACCCAGATGCTGGAGGTGAAAAGCTTACTGTGCAAGGGCCAGCTGAGCCCCTGGGGCAGGAGAGGCACACATGACTATGTCATTGAAAAGCTGTTCTCTATCAACTGACCCTTATCCTGCCCCCAGCATGTCTCTTTATTGATGCTGTCAACTTTTGGATTCCGTTTGCTTCCTTTTCATTTAAATTAGAGTTTTGAAGGACTGTACATCTGGGAAGATGCCAAAGGCAGTGTGGTTACCAGAAATGGCCATCCCTATGGGTCAAAGATGTGGCCTGCAGGTCTCAGTTCTGCCTGGCTGGCTGTGTGACTTTGGAGCACACACTTGGTATTTCTGAGCCCTTGGCTTCCTTCAGTAAGGGATTAATGCAACAAGATTTCTGGAGAGCCTTTGGGCTCTTATATTCCGAGAATCCATAAAACTGAACTGAGTCCAAGAATAGTGGTCTCTGCTTACATGTCCCTATGACACCCTTCCCTAGAACTGTTCAGGTGGAACCTTCCCAGAAGAGCCTGCAGGGCTGGGAAAGGCCCTCCCCAGGCAACAAGGGAACAGGTGCCTCCTCACAAACCTCTAGTTTCAGTGCCTCGGCCTTAGCTGAACACCCACATCCACTTCTGGCTCTTCCAAGCTCTGCACCCAGCTGCCTCCAGCTAGTCACTTTCATAGTTTACAGAGCTCTTTTCTATCTACCCCCATCTGAGCTTCACCAGGAAGGTACAGAAAGGAAAAGCCTGTCCACATCACCCAGTTTGAGTTGAGACTCAAAACCAGGTCTTCTGAATCCCTGTGAGCTAGAGGACCCATCCATTTCTATTTCCTGGTTGAGGAAAGGTTCCAGAAAGGCACAACAGCCCTGTGCCTATCAGGTCTTGGCTGTGGGGACGGCCACCTTGGCTTTGCAACATGTTGGCTTTGTGACCTCAAGAAGCTCACCTGAGCTATTTGAAGCCATGGTTTCCTCATCTGTAAGGCAGGGATCCCAGGGTCCTATTTCATAGGGCTTTTGTGGGAAATAAATTGAGCAGTATATGTGAAGTGCTTAGAACAAATACTGACATGTAGTAGTAAGTGCTCAACAAACAGCTGCTGCTCTTGTTGTTATCATGCTGCCCCAGGGATTGTGGTAAGAACAGCTTGAATTGCTTCTCCAATAGAAGGAGATAATAGAAAGGTGTTTTTAAACTTTGAAGTAATAGATAAGTTTAAATATTGCTTAAAACATCCTGGATTGGCAAAATCAAGCAGACTCTTCTAGGCTATTGAGCTAAAGACTTTCCACACTGAACTCTTGTTCCAGGTACAGTCAGCCCTTCACATTCATGGGTTCTGTATCCATGGATTCAGCCAACAACAGATCAAAAATCTTCAGGAAAAAATTGCATCTAAGCTGATCACGTACAGACCTTTTTCTTATCATTATTCCCTAAACAATACAGTACAACAGCTATTTATATAGCATTTACATTGTATGAGGTAAGTAATCTAGAGATGATTTAAAGTACTTGGAAGGACATGCTTATATTTTAGGCAAATACTCTGCTGTTTTATATAAGGGATTGAGTATTTGCAGACTTTGCTATCTGTGGGGGGTCCTGGAACCCATCCTCCATGAATACCAAGGGACATCTGTAATTCAATAAAGAAAATAAATAGCTATAGGATTCTGGTATAAATAAGCTCATCTCAGAGAGGCCCCCAGGTAGACTCTAGTGGCAGCTGTCTGACACATCACTCTGGGCAACTGAGTTCACTGTTTCCCTTGGGATCAGAAATCCATGAGATCACAGGGAGCTTGGCCCCAGAGTTCTCAGGCTGTGTTCACCACGCATGGGATTTCTGAAATGCATTTAGGAGTCTATCCTGGGAAGTTTGGCTTGTTGGAAAGTGGGACGAATACTCTGTGGATCAAGAAGAATAAAAGAAAACAAGGCAAAGGGAGAAAGAGAAAATGAGGTACAGGAAATATGGGAGGGGAGGGCGTCCAGCTGGGATGCCTCTAAGTGATTGGATAGGTACAAGCATGGATGATTGGGCAGGAAGAGCTAGATACAAATAGAAATGCTCTGTCTCTCTGAGAGCTACTCAACACAGATGATAGATTGTTGGTGAGATAATCAGACTCAGAAGCTGAAATAGAAAAAGTGGATGAGGCAGGAAGCATTGAACTCAGGAAGGGTGGGTCCAGAAATGAACAGCAGCAGCAATGTGATGAGGAAGTGAAGAAATCAGGGGTGTCTGTGAATGTGGAGGGGCAGAGGAGGGCATCCAGGAAGGGGAATAGGCTGTACAGGCGTTCCCAATTCTTAGGGGTTTTTCTTTACTTGAAAGATGGTACAGATAACTTTCCTATGAGCCTGCAGTCCTTCCTTTTGGCCACTAGAGGTCGAGAGCACATTGATACTACAAGCTTCTGGCCCACCCAATTGTTTGAAAATGAGCCCTTGAAACAACTGGTGGTTCAACATGGAAATCAGCAGAAGGGGGTTTTAGGACCCTTATTACAACTGCAAGTGAACCAAAATGAGTAGAATGCAGACAACAACGCATTCCATCAAGTTCTTGAAGAAAAGTTGGCTGTATTTTTTTAGGCATTTATTGTTTTATAAGTTTTTTTTTGGGGGGGGGGGCTGGGGGTGGTAAGACATTCAGGATTAAGGAAGGAGAGAGAAACATAGTAGAGAATAATTTTTTTTCCCACATTATCTAAGGTTCTCCAGAGTTTGTAACATTTTTCTGAAGTCAATTGAAAGTTCAATGTTCTTAAACCGCCAGCTCAAATCAGGGATGGTGGTGATGATGGTGCTGGTGATGATGCAGAGGTCACAGCTGGTGGGGCTGGAAAGGATGACTGAGGAAAGGTCAAGCTTGCCCTATCACTTCTGAGAACCCGAAAGGCTCGGGGGCTGTGGTTACCTTTTGCAGTTTCCTCTTTCCGAGCCTGGTCTGACCCAGTAGGAGTGTGATGATGTTGACAATGGTGATAACAGTAATAGTGATGGTCACAAAGCAGCTGCTATTGATGAAAATCAGAATCATTTCCAGTCCTTAGAAAGTTTGTGCAAAAGTAAAGAATGGCAAACACTCGGTGTGTCACGGGAAGAAGTGGGCACAGATGTGGTGCAGAACTTGAGGTGGGGCTGGGAGCAGGAGGGGGGACCATGTTGGGCCATGACAGACTGTTGGTGTTTCCAATTTGTGCATCCCAGGTCATGAAAACCTACCACATGTACCATGCGGAGAGCATTAGTGCAGAAAGCAAGCTAAAGGAAGCTGAGAAGCAGGAGGAGAAGCAGTTTAACAAGTCAGGAGATCTCAGCATGAACCTCCTTCGGCACGAGGACCGGCCCCAGCGTCGCAGCTCTGTGAAGAAGATTGAGAAGATGAAGGAGAAGGTGAGTGGGGCCTCAGGCTGGGAGAGACGGGGGTCAGGACATGACAAGTAGGGCTGTGTGCTCAGCTAAGAGCTGACAGCCTTGGCTCTGCCTTGTTCCTCTGCACCCTGGGGTGAGGGCAGAAGGGTGCTGTAGCACCTGCTCTCTTGGAGGTCAGTGTCGTGGAGGAGGCAGGCTGGCCAGGCCTCTGCCAGCTCTTTTAAAGCTCAGATGGTGCCATAGTCAACAGGCAGAAGAGGTGCTGAGCTGACTAGAGAGGTGAACTGGGGTGGTGGGATTCATGTTCAGCAAGCACATACCCAGGATGGGAATCAGCAGGCATTAGTGGAAGGCATGCTTGGTCCAGAGGCCAGCTGTTGGCTAGGACCAGAGTGCAGAGTTGAGTGGGACTCAGTGTGTCCCAACAAGAAAGAGCAGCCCTGGCTACTAGGCAGCACCTGGGACCCTGGTGAAGGGCCTTTTGTGAAATTGCCATTGCCAAGCCAAAGCCCAGAGTTTTAGGATCACCATACATCAGCTCTGAAATAGTCTTCAGAGTTTTGCAAATGCCACATTTATAGCACCCCTGAACCTCAATGTTCAGACCTGACAGGGATGGCCCAAAGCTTTGTCTCTCATGTCAGCTCTCATCCATTGCTCATGGCTGCCCAGATCACTATGTGGAGGGTTGCAAAGCCCTCTCCAGGCTTTGTTAGAAGTGGTGCTGTGATCATTCGGTGACATCAAACATAGCCAGGGAAGTTCGAAGGCAGTATACACGCTGTTCTTCTCATTCTAAACTAAGTAACTTCTAAGGTTCCTTTCTTCTGGAAAGGATATTCTTGCTTATGATATTATGATATTCTTGCTGAATTCGCCACATTCTTTCATTCTATGCTACCATGAAATCTTCACAGAGCTCTATCTGTCACACATTGCACCAGATGTTTATCTGGGCTTCTGAGTCTAATTCTATGAGTATAGAGTCCCTTAACTCTAAAAATTGTAGGCAATTGAGTGGGAACAAAACACAACTGGACTTGGATAAGCTATATATAGGTGGTCAATAAGTACATAAACAGATGTTCAGCATCAGTAATGATTAAGGAAATGCAAATCAAAATCATAATGGAATACTTCTTCATAGCCACTTGAATGGATAGAATGAAAAAGCAGGCAATGAGAAGTATTGGTGAGGATGTGGAGACTGGGATCTTTACATGTTGCTGGAGGGAATGTAACATGGTACATCACTTTGGAAAACAACCTTGAAGCTCCTAAAAATGTAAAACAGAGACCAAATAACCATGTGATTCAACTGTTCCACACTTAGGTGTCTACCTAAGAGAACTTAAAACATTTTATGCAGCTGGGTGTATGATGCACACATGTAATCCCAGCAACTCAGGAGGCTATGGCAGTATCATTGTAAATTCATGGGCAGCCTCAGCAACTTAGTGAGACCCTATTTCAAAATAAAAACAATAAGCCGGGCATGGTGGCATATACCTATAATCCCAGTGGCTCAGGAGGCTGAGGCAGGAGGATTGCAAGTTCAAGGCCAGCCTCAACAATTTAGTGAGACTCTGTCTCAAAATAAAAATAATAAAAAAGAGCTGAGGATGTGGCTCAGAGGTAAAGTGCTTCTAGGTGCAATCCCTAGTACCAAAATAAACAACAACAAAAAACATGTCCATGTAAAAATATATTCATGACTGTTCACAGATGCATTATTCATGATAGCCTCAAAATGGAAACAACTCAAATGTTCATAAATGGATGAGTAAAATGTGCTCTGTCCATAAAATGGAATGTTATTCAGCCATAAAAGGGATGTAAGCACTGACATATGCCCAACATAGGTGAACCTAGAAAACATGCTAAGTGAAAACATGCTAACAGTTATGAAAACCACATATTGTACAATTTAATTTGTATGAAATGTCCAGAGAGATAGAAAGTCAACTGTTGGTTTTCAGGGGCTGAGGAAGAGGAGAATGAGGAGTGGCTGCTAATATGTGCAGTTTCTTTTTAGGGAATAAAAATGTTCTAAAATTTAGGTGGTAGTGATGGTTGTACAACTCCATGAATGTAGTAAAAATAAATTAAAATAACCAGTCATGAATTATAGGACTATAACATAGAGGGAAACATACAGGTATAGACAGAGGATTAACTGGGGTTTTGGAGACTCTTTTCTAGTTCAGAGCGTATGCTGAGTAGTTGGCTCTTGGACAAGTGGCTTCTCCCATTCTCATTTCCTCACCTATAAATAAAAGAGTTCAACTAGATGCCTTTATGATCATCTCCAAGTATAAAAGTTCATGAGTCCACAAAGGGCTAAAAATGGTCTCAGATTCATAGTGGGCCACAGGAAATGGGTCAGGAATATCAAAGCTTTCCCTGAGGGTCAGGAACATGGCCAACACAGGATATAAATGTCAAGAGGAGTGTGCTGGGTGTTCTCAGACTAAGAGGACCTCGGAGAAGAGTCAGGGAAGGTCTCTGGAAAAAAAATCAAAAGACTGGCTGGGCGTGGTAGTGCACACTGTAATCCCAGTGACTTTGGAGGCTTAGGTGGGAGAATTATAAATTCAAGGTCAGTCTTGGCAACTTAGTGAGGCCCTTAGCAACTTACAGACCCTGTCTCAAAATAGAAATAAAAGGGCTTGGAGTGGCTCTGTGGTAGAGTGTCCCTGGGTTCAATCCCCACTACCAAAAAAAAAAAAAAAAAAGACTGCCAATGGGGCTTCTCTACTAAAAAGCTACAAATCGAATCAGAATAAGGAAGGTTTGAGAATGTCTAGGTGAGAGAGGAAACCCCTGTTTCTTTCAGGAGACTTGTTGTTTTACCCTACCCTGGGACTCATCAGTCTGAAAGGGGCAAGTATATCTTTCTACCCTACTTACTCCTTGCTCTTCCCTGCCAGGCGGCCCAGAACAGAAGCAGCTCCCCAGAAGCAGTCACGAGCAGCTTGGGAAGCCACTGGAGGGTGCTGAGTAGGGGTCTTATTTATAACCCACCCTGATACCACCCAAAGGCAGCTAGGTGTCACATAGTGTCACTGGCTGCTTGTGCCATGTGAAGTGATCTCGATGCAGGCTCTGAACCTTACTCCCTGGCATGGAGGTAGCCTATAGATGTGGGCTTGGCCCTGACATCTACTCTTTTCTTCTTCCAGAGGCAGGCAAAGTATTCTGAGAACAAGCTGAAATGCACAAAGGCCCGGAACGACTACCTGCTGAACCTGGCAGCCACCAACGCAGCTATAAGCAAATACTACATCCATGATGTCTCTGATCTGATTGATGTGAGCATCCTGGGGAGCATGGAACTGATGGGGCCACACCAAGGCTGGTGCATCTCATCAGCTGAAGGAGGGACTTGGTCCTTAGCTGAGGCTGATGTGCAGGGTGGCCAGGTTTTTGAGTGTTGCTTGGAGGGGGAGGGCACTGGGTGTGGCCTGGGCTGTGTGTGACACCCCAGGATTTCTACTTCATGGATGAGGCGAGCCTCTGATGACCCTCCAAGCATGGCTTGGGCAGTCATGAGTGCATTCAACCCCCGCTTCCCAGGCATGCTGCTATGCCCAGGTCCTTTGCTGGGTGTGGGGTTAGGGGGTAGACATTCACAGTTGGTGCCCTTGGGAATCTCAGTGTAGAAAAGAAGATGTTAATATATTCAGTGCCCCTAAGTCCAATCAACCAGGCACACGTGGAAGGAGATAGTGAATCAGACAGTGGCGTAGCTTAGCTCCTGGGGATGTTGTTGTGGGAGACATCAGGCAGCCTAAGCAGATGCAGAGGGCACACAGATCTGCAATGCCAGTTGAAGGACCACAGGCTTGAGGAAGGACACTGTGAGCAGCAGCATCAGGAGGGCTTCTGGGCCATCTGTGTTGGAGCCCAGACTGTTCCTTTCCTCTCCACCTTCCTGTACAGCTGGGCTCTGGAGATGCCCAGTAAAGGCTCAGTACTGATCACAGAATCCTTTTCCTGTGGCCTTGGTGTGTCCTGTGAGGAAGTCAGTGGGTCTTTGCTTTTCCCTTGGCTGCAGAGGGGACCCATTATCACCATCCTAAGGGAAGGGGGACACTCAGCTTTCTAAATGGCTTAAGACCAGACCTTCCCTCTTTTCTGCCTTTCAATTTTCCTTTTGGCTCTTTCGCCTTTTTTTTTTTTTTAATATTTTTTAGTTGTTGATGGAACTTTATTTATTTGTATGTGGTGCTGAGAATCGAACCCAATGCCTCACACATGCTAGGCAAGCACACTACCACTGAGCCACAACCCCAGCCCCATCTTTCGCCTTTTTCATTAATTCATTTACCAAATATTTATTCAGCACCTCCTGTGGTCTAGGATGTGAGGTGCTGCAGTAGGCCAAAGCCAGCGGGTCTTCCTACACAGGACACATTAATAAGTAGTTGCAGGGGTCACAGTAAGAGATGCAGGGAAACCTGGGTCCCTGCAGTGGGGACACTGACACAAACTCCTAAGTGTGGAGGACATCAGGAAGGCTTTCTGGAGGAAGCTGAATCTGGAGGGAAGAGTATTTCATGCAGAGGAGACACATGCACGAAAATCTAGAGATGAGAAGGAATGTGCTGAATTTGGGGAGCTGAGAGAAGCGCTGCTATGGTGCAAATCTCAACCCCCAACATCCTCTGCGAGCTTTGGAGTGGTTTGTGTGCAAAGTGCTGTGGAATGGGAGGTGATTGTAAGTCACCGTCCCAGCTGTCATCTGCACCCTCTGTCCTTGCCTCTTCCCAAGTGCTGTGATTTGGGCTTTCATGCCAGCCTGGCCCGCACCTTCCGGACATACCTCTCAGCTGAGTACAACTTGGAGACCTCACGCCATGAAGGGCTGGATGTGATCGAGAATGCCGTGGACAGTCTGGACTCCCGGAGCGACAAGCACACCGTCATGGACATGTGCAACCAGGTCTTCTGCCCTCCGCTCAAGTTTGAGTTCCAGCCCCACATGGGGGATGAGGTAGGTTTCCCCAGGAGGCCAGGCTTGAGGCTGTCTCAGCGTTTTCTGTTGCAAAATACATGAGACCATGAAATTTAGAAAGAACAAAGATTTATTTAGCTCCTGGTTCTGGAGACTGGGAAGTCCAAGAATGTGGCGAATGGCATCTGCTCAGCATCTGGTGAGGCCCTTCTTGCTGCATAATAACATGGCCCAGGACACCATGTGGTGAGACAGAGCAAATGCACTAGCCCATGTCCATCTCCTCCTCTTTTTAAAAAAACCACTAATGCCATCCTGGGTTCCCCACCTTCATGACCTCATCTAACCCTAGTTACCTCTCAAAGGCCCCATTAACAAATACTATAAAGATATGATTTTTTTTTTTAGAGAGAGTGAGAGAGAGAGAATTTTAATATTTATTTTTTAGTTTTCAGCGGACACAACATCTTTGTTTGTATGTGGTGCTGAGGATCGAACCCGGGCCGCACGCATGCCAGGCGAGCGCGCTACAGCTTGAGCCAAAACCCCAGCCCTATAAAGATATGATTTTTGAGGGTTAAGTTCCCAACACATGAATTTTGGGGGGACTCACTGGAACCATAGGCTGCTTCTATTCTCTCCCATCCTTCTGGAACCTTGGTAGGAGGAGAAAAGCCCTGGTTGCGTATGCACAATGTGTATCTCAGAGCCTGGGGTCAAGTTCTTGGTCATGAGCTTTTCTAGAAGAGGAATTTATCACTGATAACCTTCTTCTAGCTGGCTCAAGTCCCTACCTGCAGAATTACAGGACTTAGCTTACCTCAGAATTCCTCCCAGGTATATCTAGAAGACCCCTGGGATTCCTGGTGTGTATAGAAACGGTCTTCTTGTTCCTCCCTCCAAAGCCCTTGGATCATGTACTGCTGACCTCATCACAGCCTCCTATAGCCGCCTTGGGCAGGTTCTGCCCTCCTGATCTTGTGAACCCTGGTACACTAGATAGCTGAGTTCTCTTCAGTGCTTATGCTATTCAGATTCTTTTTTTTTTAAATTGGTTTTGGGGCTTCAAGTAAGGGGCATTTAGCCACTGAGCCTCATCCGCAGCCCATTTTTGTATTTTATTTAGAGACAGGGTCTTGCTAAGTTGTTGAGGCTGGCTTTGAATTCACCATCTTCCTGCCTCAGCCTCCTGAGCTTCTGGGATTATAGGCGTGCACCATTGCACCCGGCCTTCAGATTCTTGCTACAGTCTGAAATAAAGAAAAGAAAAAAAGAAGGAGAGTAAAGGAACTTGTCACTGTCCCCAATGCAACATTTCTAGGACCCAGGTTACACAAATCCTTGATGCAAATGGCTCCCTGAGTTTTTCTGTGTCATTCCCTCCTTTTGGAATTGGAATTGGGGTGGAGACCCAGACCAATGTGGTATCAGAATCAGCCAGTCTCTGAATTCAGGTGGGAGCTCAGCTGAGCCATCTGAGAGCACCTAGGGAGGGACAAGGAGGCAGATGGAAAATGGCATTTACTGTGCCCTGTAGAAGGCTCCGCCCACTCCCTTCATTTGCAAAGTAGAGGCCCTTTGTGTGCTCTTGCTGTTCCTGATGCACCTGTCTGCCCTCATGTCTGGCCCCTCACCTTGACCTGAAAATCCTGGTCTCATTGCTAGCACTGTGAAGTTCAGGTTGCATAGTTACTAATAAATAACTAACTTTGTCAACAGACCTTGTCAACAATCCCTTATGATCTTAGCTGCATCCTAGAAGGGGTGAGATACTAAAGCAAACTAGGTAGCCCAGCCCACAGGTAGTAATAGAGCCCCAGATGGGAAGGTACATGGAGAATGGTGGAGTTGTCTTACAATATTCATAGGGGGACTGGTTCTAGGACCCCCTGTGGAAACCAAAATGTGAGGATGCTCATGTCCCTGTATAAAATGGTATAAAATGGCCTAGTATTTGCACAGAACCTATGCATCCTCCTGTCTACTCAAGTCATCTCTGGATGACTTATAACACCCAGTACAATGTAAGTGCTATGTCAATAGTTTTTACGCTGCATTGTTTAGGAAACAATGATAAGAAAGAAATGTCAGTACAGAGGCCATTTTTCCCCCATGTATATTTTCTGTTCTTAGTTGGTTGAATCTGTGGATGTCAACCCTGTGGATACGGAGGAGACCAACTGCATCTCTGTCAGTTCTGCCCCTCCACCCCACTTGACTGGCTGAGGAAGAAGATCCCTGGAGTGCTCTGGCCACAGTTGTCATTTCCTGTGGGCATTGCGAGCACTCTACCTACTGATTCATCCTTCTTTCCATTGGCTTCTCTTACAAGGTGGCTTTTTTCTAGCCACAACTTTCTGCTTTGAAATTAATGAATTAGTTTCACTTAACAAGATTATGTTAAAGCTCTTTGGAAACCCACAAGCATTGCACAAATGTAGAAGATTGTGGCTGAGGGCCACAATCCTGGCAATGGCAGGAGGGTAGACTTTTCCCATCTGGCGTTGCCATTGCTACGTGAGCTAGGTGACCTTGGGGAGGTTGCTTGACCTTGCTGAGCCTGTCTCATAGGCTGTGGATCTGGATGTCCATGTAGCCCTTGCCCTAGCTCCATGCAGGTGAGGAGGGCAGTGCGCAAGCACAGTGATGTCTGTCCTTTCTGCAGGTGTGCCAGGTCAGCGCACAGCAGCCTGTGCAGACGGAGCTGCTCATGCGGTACCACCAGCTGCAGTCCAGACTGGCCACTCTCAAGATTGAAAATGAGGAGGTGAGTGAGCCCCTGCCTGGGAGGGATTTCCTCACAAAGGCTGCTGTCCTGGGGAGTCCACTCTTGCCATGGAACGCATCCCAAATGATGTCTTTTCTATAAGATGGAGAATCATACAACCTTGAAACCATATACTCCAAGAATCTGTAATGGCCTGGGAATCTGTAATCACAAAACAGATTAATAAATGAATGAGTTTGGAAAAATACCAGATAGCATAGGCACTAGGTTAAGACACTCATAGGGCTCAGAGGTGTTAAGTGAAAGAGAAGCAGAGGAAGGAGGACTCTGTTCAGGGTGCTCACTTGTAGGGTAAGCTGCAGTCTGTAGGTAAAGAGCTGTGTGTTCACTGGTGTAGAAAAGAGACCAGAGGGAAACATTCCAAATGTAACAGTGGTTGTGTCTCCATTGTTGGATTTGGGGTGGTTTCTGTTGACTTCTTTCTGCTTTTTTCTATTTTCTGCAATGAGTTCCTATTTTTGACATCAGAAATCATAGTAGGTATTTGAAATTACACAATGAAATAAACAACCCAGGGCACTCAAGCTGCAGCATGGCTTTAGAGCCAGCCTTACCCCACCTGGCACACGACCCACAAAGCCTGGTGGCATGGATTCACTACTGGGTGGGTGCAGGTGGAAATCCTAGCTGAGCTGCGTTCACCTTGACGTGGACTGAAGAGGCCAAACTGGAAACACCCTGTCCTAACATGGACACCTCCTTCTAAGCAGGACATCAGCCAACCAGAGGCCCCCCGGAGAAAGGACAGATTATAGGAATTGTTACCCAAGGTTGTGGGCAGGTTTATCCTTGAGAAGTGAAGTCATTTTGGGAGGTGAGAAGACAGTCTCTGTCTCAGATCTCAGGGGGATTATCCTGGGCAGAGAGGGCAGTTTTGCCTTACATCTCCACAAAGGACAGTGAGGACAAATGTGAGACAGATTGTAGCTCGGGACGATGACGAATCAAAGCGGTCCTGGGGGAGGGAGGTTATATGGAGACAAACTGTGCATTGGGTTTTTAAGCCTAGCAAGACACAGGAGATGAGCAGAGTATTTTCTTTCTTTGTTTATGCCCTCCATCTTTCCCCAAAGGACTTTAAGTTGTTTATGTGGAGCATTATGTGGATAACAATGTTAATGGAATTTAAATTGGAAATCAGAGTCACAGAGAAGAGATTGAAGCAAATATTCCTCTCTGTGGACTGTAAATGGGCATGACCATCCTTGAATTTAAACCTGACCTTCCTGTCATTCTGTGGTCAAAGTAAGACTTTGTTTATTCATTCATTTATTCATTCAACAAGCATTGAAATACTTACCGAGCACATACTATTTGCTAAACATTGTTCTGGACAAATATAACATAGTACCTCCTCTCATAGAATTTTCTAGTGAGGGTCACAGATAAAAATTAAAACACAAAACAGATTAATAAATGAATGAGTTTGGAAAAATACCAGATAGCATAGGCACTAGGTTAAGACACTCATAGGGCCTGATGTCATTAGAAGGTGACATTTCAGCTGAGCCTGCGTGACAAGAGAGCTTGAGTGGTGATAATTTTACAACAAATGTTGATGCAGTTTTTCCCATGACTATTTTTGGAGTGACCTTCCATCAAAGCATAGCGTATGCCATTTAGACACCATGCAGCAAAAGGGTGCTGTGAGGTTGGGGTTCTTATGCCCGTATTTTGTACCCTTTGTGGTTTCACTCGACTTGGGAGAGAGATGAAGTCCTAACTAACAGTCAGAGCCTCAGCCACTGTTGTTGTCTCGGGGTCTCCCTTCCCTCAATTTCACCTTTGGTAGGGATCAGCTAGCAGATGGCTGGAGCATAGCTACCCACCATTTTCCAGATTTCATCCCATCCCTCCTCTGAGCAAAGAGAAGGAGCACCTTCAGTGCTGTTCCTATTTGACTGATCACCTTCCACTGCAGAAGCTGGTTGGGGACAGCATAACCAGGCAAAGAGGAACACACCTGGAAATCTGTGTCCCTTGTGCATCATAGCATCCCCCCAGGTTCCCTGGCAGAAGCCATACCATGAAATGACTTTAGATGGAGCACCCTGGCTTATTCCCCCAGCCAGCTGTGCAGTCTTGAACCAATGACTCGTTTCCCTTGCTTAGCACCTCAGTGCACCTTGGTCCATCGAGTCTCCTAGAGGCTTTATATGAAATTTGAGAAAACACTTTAAATTGTGAGAAAGAATAAAGGTCTTTTGTGGATATGCTTTTTCCCCAGGTTAGAAAAACCTTGGATGCCACCATGCAGACTTTACAGGACATGCTGACGGTGGAGGACTTTGATGTCTCTGACGCCTTCCAACACAGCCGATCCACAGAGTCAGTGAAGTCGGCCGCGTCAGAGACCTACATGAGCAAGATCAACATTGCCAAGAGGAGGGCCAACCAGCAGGAGACAGAGATGTTTTATTTTACAGTAGGTGGCATCCTGGACCCAGAACCCATGTCTGCTGTCCCTGTCTGAGATGTTTGGGAATGGCCTGATGGAGTAAGGGCCAGCAAAACCACCCTGGTCAATCAGACCTAAGAATCTTCCAACATACTTTAACATTAAGTTGCCTGGCTGAATTTACTGTAATGCAGAAAGTGAATTACCAGTGGGTAATATTGACATTGATCTTGGGTGATGGTCATTGAAACTTTTCTGCTTTAGAAAAAAAGATCAAAGAGAAAGTTCTGTTCAGCTAGGTTAGAAAAAAAATGAATAAAGGAGTCAAGCATAAGTTCTAAACAACTACCCTAAAATTATGCAAATGTTTTATTGTGTTGAATTGTCTTAAATTTGGGTGTAAGTTTTAGAAATAATGTCCTCAGCAATCCAAGCATATTTCTCATGGAGTTGCTAGCCTCCCACATGAAATCCTTACCTTCCATTTTGGCTGGGGGCAGGTAAGAGCAAGGCAAAGGGAAAAAGGGGCTTATAGTTGAATTTGGGTTTATTGAGTATGGAATATTGGAATTGTAAGGGAACTATCTTCCATTTGAGCCATTTCCAGGCCAGAAGATCATCAAACTCTGCTTGAATGCCCCCAGGATAAAAAGTTCCCTCCTTCCACAAACAGCCCTTCTGTTTGGGTTCTGGCTAGCTGGCTTTGGGTATATGTTTTCTTTTATCTCTGTTACTTTCTAAAATATACACACTAGGGTTTCTGGCTGTTGATCTAGATTCTGTTCTCTGGCGGGACCCAGAGGGAGGCTAATTCTTCAGTCTTTCCATGACTGCAGGAAGCTGAGTTTTCATTTCTGCAGGCCACATTAACTATTTCTTTCAGTTCTGTCTTAAAAGCTTTTGTTTTGAGCAGGCTGAGTATCCCAGTGACTTCCTGAACTCCTTCTCTTTGTCAGCGCCTCTTCTGCAGCGAGACAGCCTTGGTCTAACCAGCACAGAATAGAGTACATTTTTACTTTCTCCATACAAGGAGCTATACTCCCATTCTCATGTCCTAGGATCATATTCATTGTGTGTGTGGCCATGAGCCAGGCCTTCCTCCTTTTGAAGGCTCTGTAGATGTCTTGGGTAGTTCTCATGTTGGTCACCACTTAGGTGTCCTCTTGATGAATTCATTTCATGGTTCCAGATTGTCAACATCCTTATGTAGGAGTTCAACATACACACTGTCTTGTCATGTGTGAACATGGCCTCCACACCTTAAGGTTCATCAATAAAAATAATGAAACGGGTGTGCCAGGGCCAATGCCTAAGACAGACGAACTATGCAGGGAGGTTGATACTGATTGGATTGTGCTTACTTAGCCCATCACAAACCCACCCAGTTCTCGCATCTGACTTCATCTTGGCCTTATCAAATTCTTTGTTGAAAACCAGTAGTTGCACATACCACATTTCTTCCATCAACATTCTCTGACCTTATCAAGAAAGAAAACAAAGCTGATCTTTGTGAATCACCCCAACCCAATTCCTGGCAGTCGCATTCCCACTGTATTCACAAAGACAATTATGGGCTAGAAAGATGAGTGAGGAGTGTGACATGTATGAATAATAACTCACTTTGACAGTAGAAGCAAATAAATCTACCCGGCAGAAGCAGAGAAGGGGGTCCAGACTGCTTGAAGTTGAAAGAATTCTGTAATGTCTTTTACTAAGTGTCAGAATATGCTGTCTACTTTTCTTAATAATCAATTCATCCACCTGGATGGCTGGTCCATTCTCTCACAACCCTTGTTCCTATTTTTAACATTATTTTAGACCTTTGCAATGTTGCTTTTAATGCAAATATCAATACAATATAATGGCCTTTTATCTTTCATCAGTCACCTGGGTGAAGTTCATACCCACAGGTCACAGAGCCTTAGGGGTAATTGACACTGGCCAGAAGATAACAGGAGCCTGAGTTACAAGATCAGAGCTTCTCCTGCCAGAGGCCATGAAGCCTGGTGGACAGAATACTTGCTTACACCTTAGCTCTGCTTTTTATGAATTCTTAGACTTGTGATAAAAGAGGATGTTGTTATCTGGAAGCATTGGTCAAGAGCCTCTGGGTAGCAGGAAATGTTTGTTTAAAATGCAGGCTCTCAGACCCTCATCCTCCTCATGATGGGGTCCTGGAATATTTAATGCTTCTGTGCCTCCCTGTGTCCCTGAGGTGAAAAGCAAGACTCGAGGTGTTATAGAACTGAAATCTGGGTTGACAGTCTCTCCAACTGGCTACAAAGCCACCTGTCCTCTTGCCCACACCTGGATCAACACTGAGTCCATCTCACCTTACACAGAGGAGAACAGGAAAGCCCAGAAACGATCAGTGTTCTGCTCAAGGTCACTCAATGAGAGAGCGCAGCTCTGGGCTTCTGTTTCCTTCTGGGTGGAAAGGACATGATGATGCATTTGCCATTTGCTGTCCAAGAATGTTGGCAGTCTCTGCTGCATGTGTGTAAAACCTGCTGCATGCTCTGCAAATGCAAAGAAGAGTGACTCTTAGGACCAAGAGCCAGGTCCTCAGAGATAAGGGCCATGGGAAAGGGGAGAGGATGCTGTAAAGTCCCACCTCACAGTCATTCCAGAAACCACTGGCGTGGGCCAGGGTGAGGCCACCCCAGTTTTATTTGTGTCAGTGTCAGCCCTCTTCCCTGGGAACCCTTCCCAAGATAACTGTCCTCAAGGGGGAAAAGGTGACACTAGGGACCCTCTTCTCCAGGAAAAATTGCGACTGTCCTTAACTTTCAAGGCTTTCTTTTTTCTGCCACATTGACGTGTGCTAGCTGGGTCAGGAGTGGACCTCCTTGTGGTAAACCAGCTGGTAGGTTTGGGGCAGTCACATCTGTTCCTGGACCTCATCTCAGAGCTTCTGCAGTTGCCATGCCCTCTGCTTGCCAGTTTCTATCCCTCAGTTCCCCACATGTCCCTTTTCTGTCTCCTTCAGGCGTTGGCCCAAATGTCCCTTTAGCAGTGACATCCCCTACTTGGATTCCCAGCCTGCTCTTTCTGCTTCATTTTTATCCATAGCTTTCACTACAGGTTGGCACTTTACTTATTTTTGGTTCATTTACTGTGTCTCTGCCCACCTTGGTTGGTATGGCCTAGGAGGCAGAGATTTAACTAAACTCCTGCCTCTGGTTGCTCACAGTGCAGCAAAGGCAGGCCCCAGCAGGGCTCTGTGCCTGTGTTCACATGGTATAGGATGGAGGGAGCAAGAAAGCTGCTACCTGTGTGGAGGTGAGGCTGAGGCCCAGGCCAAGTATGGGCAGATGGCTATGTTTCTGTTCTGGAAGGTTCTCTGTCCCTCAGTACTGCCCCAGACAGCACTGAGCATAACCTAGAAGGCAGCCTGGGACTAGTCCTAGTCACTATTGCCTTTCTGTAGCACCTTGGGCAAGTCACTTTCCTGTACCTGTCTCCTTGCCTCATTCACAGGAAGAAGAAAATCATATTGCCTAATGTACTTTGGGCTCTCTTAATGGGAAAGTCTCTCCAGGGCCTGCAAAACCCTTCGTCTTTTAGAATGTGACCATTTGAAGGAAAGACTTGCCCCCTGGCTCCTCTTTGCCAGCTCTCGAGCTGTAGCTGCCTGGCCATTGGGATGGTTCCCATCTTGATTGTTCTTGGCCCAGAAACACAGTAGAGCTTTGATAACCAAAGAAGACCTTTGCTTTGTGCTACTCACAGCCCTACCTAAGAAAGCAGATTTCACTGTTCCTATCCTCCTGGGGCTTCCTTTGTGCTCCCAGACCCTACCTTAAAGCCTAGCGTCCCCCAGGGACTGGGCAGCCACTTGGAGAGCTAGGAGCAGATGCAAAAGTCTGGGCTGTTCAAGGATGACCTAATCTCCCTACCCAGAGGTCCATTCCAGAGGCAGAGATCCCATCACTTGTCCTCTAATTTCCTTTTACCCTGTGTCTTACAGAAATTTAAAGAATATGTGAATGGCAGTAACCTCATCACCAAGCTACAGGCCAAGCACGACTTACTCAAGCAGACACTTGGAGAAGGTGAGTTGGGTGGTGGAGGCCCCAGGAGGGGCTGTTTTCCCCACTAGGTCCTGTTGTGTTCCCTGGGGCTTCTGAGCTGTTTAGGCTTGAGACTCTGAACCCTTGGCAGAATAGGGCCTGGTACTGGACCCACCTGCCAGGACTGGGCAACTGGGGAAATTGGGTCCAGTCTGGCTGCAGAAAATAGAGGGTAATCATGGGTCTTAGTTTAGGATATGGGGGAAGGTCATGGTCTAGTACTTGTTAGGTAGTGGGTGGGAATCCAGGGACCTAGGGGTCAGCATTGATGACTTTCAGCAGATGCCAGAAATATGGATAGAGTGCCCGGCAAGGGTTCTAGGTCCAGAGAAGGAAATTCCAGACATATGAGACATGGTTTAGTCCTTGGAGGACCTGGAGACTAGGCTTAGAACCACCCAAATCTTCTAGTGACAGTTGAAATAAAACCCCAGCTGCTCTCATGGCACATAAGCCTCTCCGTCACTTGGCTTCTGCTTGATTTCCTGACCTCATCCGTCACTCTCTCCTTTCTGTGTTCCATCCAGGCAGGGCAAGTCTTTGCCTTTCAAAATCCACCAAGCTGATTCCTGTCCCAGGGCCTTTGCATCTGCATGTGCAGCCACCACCCAAGCCAGAATAGAAAACGTTTCCATCACCATTAAAAATCCCCTTCTGCCCCTTTCCAGCCAGTCCTCCCACTCTACCCCAAGCAACCACTAATCTGATTGCTGACACCATAGATCAGTTTTGTGTGTTCTAGCTGGTCAGAACTGGGAGGTTTGGGGGGTAAGAGAAAAGTTTTATAACCTGATTTGAGTAGTGATTATACACAGGGGGCATACATTTGTCAAAACTCATGATTGGCGAGTAAAGGGGGAGAGGAGTTAATTTCAATGAACTTTCTCTTTATCCGCACCTCTCCCCGCCTTAAATTCTACCCATTCTGACATTTCGGTATTGACTAGGGAGTAGAAAGGCTGAGGAGGGTGTAGGTAACAAAGAGGGTAGAAAAACAGCAAGAATGAAGGTGTAAGGGAAGAGACAGAAAGTCCAAGAGAAGCTCAGGGGAAGCGGGTAACAGGGTAGCTTCCAAGACGAGGAATGGACAGGAGGATTAGTTTTTATGGGCCTGGCTCTGGGGGCCATTCTCATGAGCCCTGTATGAAAGGCAGGCTCATGAGTTTGTGGCTACTTGTATTTTCAGAATAAGATTCCCTGGGTTTAGAAAAAGTAGATGTTCTTTTAAAAAATAAGATCCTATGAGTCCTTAGACTGGGAAGAGAAAACTTCTCTCTGGCTCTTCCCTGTGCATTGTCAGATGGAAACTTTTATTGCTGTCCTTGCCTGACTGGCCCTAATGAGATAATGATAATTATTATGGTTGGTATAACTCCTGGTCCATTTGGTTTTCCAAGTTTATTTAGCCTCCAAACTCACCTTGCCCTGAGATATGGCTCTCTTCCAAGTTTTGAGCTGCTAGCAACAAAAGCTGTAAGAACATGTAGCTTTAGACGTACAGGGCTGCTAAGAAAGAACCATCCAGAGTCTCTTCTAGTGAACCATCCATAGAAAAGCCTAGCTTGCTTCCTTTGACAATAGGTCTTGGTACACTGGCCAATTCTAGAAAAGTTTTTTGAATGAACTTTTAATTTTACAATAGTTTTAGATTTGCAGAAAATTTAGAAAGATAGTACAAGAGTTCCCACATATTCATACCCAGTTTCCCCTATAGTAACATCTTACATTAATATGGTATATTTATCACAATCAATGAATACTGATATACTATTATGAACTAAAGTTAGTAAACTACTGACTGACAGAAAAAAAAACTGAAGCTGAATAAATTGAGACCAAATCTTCATTCATTTTTTAATATCTACTACACAGTGAAGTATACTATGGATTCTTAGGATATTGAGTGAAAAGAGAGAATTCGCAACCAGAAGAATTTGATTCAGAGTGAGAATATTCTTACCCAGTGGATAAAGGGGTACATGGAAAAACTGAGCAGCCAAGAGAGCTCAGAATCTTATCAAATTCATTCTTCTGAGTGTTGATCAATGAATCGCCTCTACTGAGCATTTTTAAAAATATTTTTTAGTTGTCAATGGACCTTTATTTTATTTATTTATATGCAGTGCTGGGAATCAAACCTGGTGCCTCACACATGTTAGACAAGTGCTCTACCAGAGAGCCACAATCCCAGCCCTTCTACTGATAAGTTTTGACTTCTCTATTCCATGGAATCTTTTCTAAGAGTTGGGCCAGGGTATGGTTGTACCCGGATCAATGGCTCTTATATGTTCTCTGACAGCCATTTTGAATTGGGAGGGATGATTTAGAAATTTAAAAGCCAAACAAGAAATATAAGGCCAAAGGAATATTTGGCTAAAAGATAAGGTGTTTTGTTTGTTTTTTTAAAGAAGTTTCATGTCTGATGCTTCAGTTTATCTCCAAAGTGCCCTTTTGGCAGCAGGTTCAAAGAAAAGTTACAGGAAGTACAAGGTCTTTTTGGTCACCTTTACTTAGAAGTGAATTTCTTAATGTGATTGACCCCAGGCACACAAGTTTTAAAGCAGCTAGGTTCCCTGTTACAAATGCTGCTGCTGTCACGTTGGGAACAAGAACATATATCCTCTTCTGCCCTTGGCTGTTGCTATGTCATTTTATTGACTAGAGAACTCTCAGTTTATCATCATCTCAGTTTATCATGAGTCTTAGATCTAGGACCTTTTTATTGCTCTGAGGTTTGGGTATTCTGTAAGCTCCAGGGCTTATACCCTGATGAGGTGGTTTTTCAGGTTACTAAGATCCCTCAAGAATTAATAAATGCATTGTCTATAACAGGGATGGGATAAATCTTTCAGGCTCAAACTTAATAGCCCATCATAGAGCAAAATGGCCACCAGGACTAGACAGTCTGACCTTCTAGAAAATGGCTGAGGTACCAACTATAAAATATGTGTCTTTTAAATCTCAGCACGTCTCAGGAGGTTAAGAACAGAGCATTTTTTGATTTCTGACATTTGTTAGAAATTGAAATACTATTCCTAAAGATATTGATAATGGCATTCTTAAGAGCTAGAAAGAGACTATAAAGCTGAAGGATCCTGCTGGGCACAGTGGCACATACCTACAATCCCAGCAATGTGGAATATTAAGGCAGGAAGATTGCAAGTTCAAGGTCAGCCTCAGCAACTTAGTGAGGTCCTAAGCAATTTAGCAAGACACTAGCTCAAAATAAAAAATAACAAGGACTGGGAATGTAGCTCAGAGATAGAGCATCCCTAGGTTCAATATCCAATACCAAAACCAAAACAAAAACAAAAAGGATCATATGTTAGATATGTTCGATTCCTTGTTAGAGGAAAGTCTGCCTTAAGTGTGTTCTGATGTTCTACTTCCATGTCCTAAACTCTTTGATTCCTACCCCTTCCCTTCTTCCCTCCCCACTCCATCTGTCTGCTCATCTATCTAAAAGCATCACTGTGCATGGCCAGGGGATACCGTGGTACACAAGACAGATAACATCTCAGGGGAAAGAGACTTCAGTCAACAAACAGCAGTCATGCATAGCTTAATGATGGAGATAGCTTCTGAGAAACACACCATTAGGCGATTTCACCATGTGCAGAAGTCATGGAGTACTCGTACACAAATTTGACATTCTCAGAGTAGGAGGCTAGACCATACATAGAATATACATATATGATAGCCTGCGGCTCCTAGGGCCATGATGAACAAGGTAGCATGAGATTAAATCAAGCAAAAGAGAAAATGATGTGATTAAGACACTGAACACAAGATATATGAGGCTGCTGCCTGAGTAATGCAGCACACTCTTTTATAGTCAACTGTTGTCCGGTAGGAGTACATTCTAAAATAATTATAAAAAGTACACTAAGCCATGCGTAGTGGCATGTGCCTGTAATCCCAGCAGCTTGGGAGGCTGAGACAGGAGGATCAAAACCAGCCCCAGCAACTTAACAATGCCCTAAGCAACTTAGCAAGACCCTATCTCAAAATAAAAAACAAAATTTTAAAAAAGGGCTGGGGATGTGGCTCAGTGGTTAAGTGCTTCTGGGTTCGATCCCTGATGCCAAAAAACAAACAAACAAAAATTATCCTATAGTAAATACATAAATGAGTAAAATAGTTGTTTATTATAATTACCAATAATTATGCACTATACATAATTGTATGTGCTCCACTTTTACATGATTGGCAGTGTAGTAGATTCACACCAGCATCACCACAAACATGGGAAATGAGGGCTGGGGTTGTGGCTCAGTAGTAGAGTGCTTGCCTAGCACGTGTGAGGCACTGGGTTCAATTCTTAGCACCACATATAAATAAAATAAAGGTCCACTGACAACTAAAAAATATTTTAAAAAACATGAGAAATGCATTACACGACAAGGACATTATGGTGGTTATGATGTCACTAGGCAATGGGCATTTTTTGGCGCATTATAATCTTATGGGACCACTCTCTTAATGTCATTGATCAAAATATCACTATGCAGCTCATGACTATACTGAGTAAAGAGTAAAAATTACAATAAGCCCCATGAATGACAGATTTGGGCTGAGCTAGAAAACTGTATATGGCAGGCAGGGAGGGGGAAATCACCTCCTCCAGGAAGTGATGTGTAAGTTGAGGCTGAAGGCTGAGAAGTGTCAATCACATACAATAATTGTGGAAAGAGAGTTGGGTCAGAGGGATGCTATTAAAAGCCAAGCATCACCTTTAAGGATACACTGAGTTTGAGGCAAATTCTACTGGGGCATCTAATCTTCCTTAATCCCATGTGTGGGAAGGTGGACCAAGTTCCCCAGGAAAAGCTCAGATATGAAGCCAGACAGCCTGGATTGGAGTCCAAACTGTATACTTAAGCAGGGACTTGGGACAGTCACTTCATCTGTTCAAATCATTTTGCTTGTCTGGTGTTACAGGGTTGATACCCTGTGTGCAATTGTACTGTGGCACTGCTGCATGTCACACTATTGCATACTCTACTTTTGGACTGTTATAATCATTAAGCACTGAGCTTGTTGAAGGTAAAGGATCTGTTTATTCATTTACTCATTCAACAAATATTTATTGAGCACATGATTTGTGCAAAACGCATGATTTGTGTCCAAGACTGTGGTGTTATGGAAATTTTAAGAACAGATGAGATTCCTTTTCTATAGAATGTAGTGATGTTTAGTGGAGATAGACTGGGAATAGACAAGTAAATAAGAAGCAAGAAAAATATTGATGTTAAGCCCTATAAAGAGAGAAGTTAAATAGATAAAGGTGACATAAGGAGATAAATGTCTGCTTTAGGTAGAAGAAGCTTTTGTCTGGACCCAACTTTTCAGTGGAGACCCAGAAGGCAAGCAAAAGCCAGCCAAGCAAGTATACGGGGAAGAAGATTCCAGGAAGCAAATACAAAGGCCTGTTTGAGGACTGTGCAGAAAGAAATTGTGTCAGGAACATCATGCTCAAAAGAGAAAGTAGGTCCAGATAGTTGGAGTAGTAGCTCACAGGATCAACTCAGATCTCAAAAGCCTTTAAAAAACAGTAAGAGGCTTAGATTTTATTCTATGTGCAGTGGGAGGTTATTGGAAGGTTGTAAGCAAGAAAATGACATGATATTATTTGCAGTTTAAAGAGATTTATTACCCATCATCTTCATGAGTCCAGGATGGATTGTACTGGATAGAAAAACTGAGTAAAAGGAACATGGGGACCTGGGAATGTGGCTCAGTTGGTAGAGTGCATGCCTAGCATGCACAAGGCCCTGGGTTCAGTCCCCAGCAAAACACACACACACACACACACACACACACACACACACGGAACTGGTCCAAGATGGAGGGAAGTGGGCAGATTTAAGGAGGAAATAGTTTTCAAAGATGATTCTTACGCTTCTGGCTTAAACAAGTGGGTGGGTGTCCCATTTATTGAGATTTTGAAGACTTGGGTAGGACTAGGTTTGGGGCATGGAAAACAGGATGTGTTTTGGGGGAACATTTAAGGTGAGAGATACTGAGAGGATAACTACTGGTAAGTGAATGGATAAGGAAAATTTGGTCTGTCTATACAAAAAAATATTACTCAACCAAAAAAAAAGGAATGAATTACTTAATCATGCTATGTGCATGAACCTCAAAAACATTATGCTAAATGAAAGACACTAGTGCAGAAGGTCACATGTTGGACGATTCTGTCAACGTCCAGGCAAACCTACAGAGGTTGAGAGTAGGTTGGTGGTTGTCTGGGCCAGGTGGTGGGAACAGTGACTATAAATGGGCACAAGGAATCTTTTTTGCTTTTAGGGGGAAAAAACGAATGTTCTGATAAAAAAAAAAAAAAAGCCAATTAAACATCACCATGTACTTTTTCTCCCCAGGGGAGAGAGCAGAATGTGGCACCACCAGGTGAGAGTTGGAAAATCTTGTTCTCTTTTACCCGCTGCCTGAGGTCGGTGTGGGGTGGTTGGCGAGGGATAGATAGACCGCTGGGAGCGGGGGAGGCTGGGACGCACTTCACCAGCCAGGGTGGTGCGGATGCTAAGGGAAGGCACAGTGGGCGGTGGAGGTTAGAGGTTGCTTCGCTTGTTGTAGCACTGGAGTGGCGAAGCCACGCCCCCTGAGCTGGCGAGGGGCTGGGGGCTCTGTCCGAGCTGCTGTGGGGCATTTCCCCTTGGTGCTGTCCACTAGGTGGGTCAGCAATATCTACCTTAGAGCCACAGAGGACAGCCAGTAGAGGCCAGAGGCTGTTGACACCCTCCCACCCCCCGCCTCTCTTTTGTTATGTGGCCATTGAGCGAACTGCCCACCTAAGCTGGGCAGGCCCAGCCTCGGTCTGGGTTTGTCAAGCAAGTTTGGGGGGTTTGGCTGATATTGTGCACAGCTGAGCATACGCATGCGCGCGCGTACACACACAGATGCGTGCTCACACATCCGCGCTGCCCACACCCTGGCTTGGACCTCATGGTTACCTGGATGGGCTGTCGCAGAAAGTAACAAATGGGCAACTTCTGCTTTCTCTTCAGCTTGTTCAACATTACCCTTTGCGCTTTTCCCTGAGCACACCAGAGCCAGTGAACATTTTGCCTCAGCAGCTGAGAGCTCATGGGCTCACTTGCCTCTGCTTTCCCAGAGCTTAGAACTTAGAACCATAAGCAGCTCTGTCACCACCCAGGTTGTTCCTTGGAGCCCATCCATTTCAAAGTTCTCAGCAAGAGCTATGAGGCTGCTGGACATGAACTCAATCAGTGGTCTGAAGGTCTGCACTTTGCCGCAGTTGAGAACCACTTTTTGCCTCACTTTCTGGGCCCAGTGACCCGATGGCATTCTTTCCAACCCCCCACACGTCCTTCCCAGTGGCCCAGAATCCTGGAAAGCTGTCCTACTTGGCAAGAGCAAACATGATCCCCCAACTCTCCCCTGCTGCTTGGGAAGGGAATAGGCAGGGCAGAGACTTGGAAAGCTCCAGGCTTTTAAGAGTGTTGGGACAAGGGCTTTCCAGAAATTCTGCCTGTGCAGCTGTTCCTCTGGGCCTGGGAATTTAGGAACATCAAAATGATTCACACCAGGCAAGGACCTTCCCACATATGGGGCAGCAGATGTGCAGGGTCACTTTCGAAGAATCTTTCAGAAACAAACTTATTATTATTACTTTTTTTTTTTCTGGCAAGAAGATGTTGTTATAATCCCAAAACACAGAAGCCATATTTTATACCGAAGTCTGCAAATAGTGGAACAGATGGAGATGAACAGAGCCAATCCTCACTTCCTCCTCATTCCTACAACTCAGGCCGGAGAAGATTGCTCCAGCAAATTGCTGGAGCGGAGATCTGTAATCAAACCCTTGGCCAGGTCTCCTCCCTCAGGGGAATGTTGAGGGTTGATTTTTCTTTTCTTTTTTTTTTTTAATTACATAAAGCCCTATGAGGCCTTGTCTTCCACACCCACTTTAACCAAGGACTTGGAAAATTCAAGCTAAAGTTACCAGACCTCACACTTAGATACCCTGCCACTAAACTCTAGACCTAGGAGAGGATGCACTCTGGCTCCTGGCCAAGGTCAAAGGCAACTTTGTTCATAAACTAGAAGCCTGTCCTTGCCTCCACAATCATTATTTAACTTGTGGAACTTGTTGCCAACTTGGAAAAAATTTTAAAATTAATCACAGAAGGCCCTGGGTGAAATGTCTCTGTACTTTGACTCTCTATACCTTTCATAGACCCTTGCACATAGTCACTCTCATTTAGGATGGTCATTTGAGCAGGTTCCCTAAGCCAGGTTGCTGGTAACTGTGTCTAGAAGGGCCAGTTTTTGCACACCAGATGCAACATGTTGTATTTCTCACACTTAAGAACCTTATCTTTGAATAGTCCAAATTTATAATAACTATAACTTAGGCTGGCCAGATGTGATATTGTACTTAAAAAGTATATGACAAATGGCAAAGCCATGGAAAAACATGAATTTGTAATTATTGTCATTCAAACAAAGTTAGCCTCCCTAACCCAGGGGGATGTGCCCTGTGGTCTAGATTAGAGGTGAAATTACTTGACATAGTGTCTAGACAAATACAACTCAGCACATACACAGACACATCCCCCTAGAGCTTCACTGCATTGAACTTCGGTATTGCCAACATTTTGGATTGACATCCATGTCTATTAGGTTTTCTAGGGAAATTTCTAATCACATTGTTTTGGTCACAGAATAATTTCAAGCCAACACTTGTGTTGCCAACATATATTGATTTTCATCTTGGTTGAAAGGCAGAAAGGGGACATTGGTCTCTGGTTTCTCTTTCTTCCTCTCTGTGGCTTTCTCTGTCCCTGTTTCCCCTGCCTTTCTTTTTCTCTCTCTTTCTTTCCTTTTTTGCTCTGCAACTGAGCAGCAGAAGAGATGGAAGGCTTAGGCTGCCCCACTTTCCTTGGCTGAGCTGTCCCCCTGCTCCCCACTTTGTGCCCCACCCAGCACTTCAGTAAGTCTATACAGATTTGATATCGTGCAAAGTTGGGATAGCTACGGTTCCCTGTCAGAGATTCCAGTCAGTGCACAGAGCCACACAGAAAGAAGTCCCAGTGTGATACAAATGGCCCTTTGTTTTCTGAATTGGGCAGGGAAAATGGGGAAGGATATACTATTTTCCTTTTATTTCCACTTTGTGTAAAGTTTCTTTAAAAAAAAAAAACAAAAACGCTTAGGACTTATGTTAAGAAAACCTTCCAAATGGCACCACAGAGATTTTTGATCCTGGTTGTCCATCACCTGCACCATGAGTCTCCACTCTTGCTGGCCACAAGCATTTAGTAGATAAATCAATATGACTGCTGGCTGTTCTGTGATAAAATCACTTTCTCCATGTCACAGTCACACTGGAGTCTCAAGTAGGGAGAGCAGCATTCTACTCCCAGCTTCAATCACATTTTATTTGTGTGACTAGGGGCGTCCGTTCACTGCCGTGGGCTCATTTGCCTTCTGAGTGAAATGGGTTTAGCAGTTCTTGCCGACCTCACAGGGTTGTTTTGAGGTCATCCTCAATGTGGGATAAGGAAATGATCTAAAACAAGGTGACAATATTGCTAGCCTTAAGTTATTTCTGATCCCCAAAGTTAAAACCTGTGGCCTCGTGTCATGTTTTTGGCACTCTCTTTCAGCTTTTTTGCATTTGGAAATTCAAAACCAAGTCCATTGTTAGAAATCCCACCCCTCCTTCTATACACACAGCCTCAGAAAATAAGTAATTTTTGAAAAAGAAATGACACGGACTTAGCTAACCAAATTGACTTAGATCCAAGATGGGCTTGAAATAATCTTGCCTGTTGTTTCTTTACAAAATTTTGGTCTGTGCTGTTATTTTGGTTCCACTGTTTGGGTGGCATGCTAGTTGGAGTGTGTCTTTGCCCATGCATGCCCTGGAGCTTAGCAGAATTTGCTCAATGTTCAACTCCTAGGAGGAGTTGGTCAGCATTCCCCAGGCTGGCCTGCTCCAGGAGACAGGTACAGCAAGCTCCCTGAAAGAGGCAGCATGAGCCTCATTTGTCTTGATTGTCTACACCTTCCTGCCCATTCACAGACATCAATCAAGACTTTGGGGACCAGGGCTTTGCTTGTCATGTGTGGATATTCTCTGTGTCTGGCTGAGTACCCACTTTGTGCTCCACAAATTTGGAACCAAGCCATTTGGAAATGACTGCCTCTCTTGATTAGGGGCCCTCCTCCTAACCTCAAAAACAGCAAAAAAAACAAAAACAAAAACAAAAACAAAAAACAAAAAACCTTTGCCTGGAAAATGTGGCAGCCTCAATTCGTGCTAGTTGGGTAATGTCATGAGCAAATAAGCCACACAGTCCTACGCATGGTGAGCAACTCTGGAAACGGGTATAGTGTTTGTGGCAGTTTCATTGTTCCTGGTAAACTGTGGTGTGTTTCCCCTCCCTGTGGCCAAGAGCAGAGCACAGGCAGTGGGGATCCTAAAGCAAAGCAAGACACTTTCATCCTGACCCCATGGCAAGGGTTGGTGGGATAGAAGAATCCTTGGCTGGAAATGAAAAGGAACCCTAAGGCTCCATGACTGTGATCTGGTAGGAAAAACCCTGAAGGTGGATCCCAAAGGGCCTAGGTTTGGGGCTGGCTCTGCCACTTCTGCCCTCTGGCCTCAGTTTCTGCCTCTGTAAAATGGGGCCATATGTTGACATCTGTTAAGTGTGATAATGGACTTGAAAGTGCTTTAATCAAAAGTGTACTTTACTGAAGAACAGGGTATTATCATCATCCCAGGTCACCTGGGGACCCTGAAGAAGCTGTGGCCTGCCTCCTGGCATCAGCTTCTTCATCTCAGAAATGAGAATAATAATTGCCTGGCTCTCAGATCAATGAAATAAAGATTAGTCAAGTGCATTTGAAATGCCAAGAAGCATTAGGAAGATGAGTGCCCTGGTACATTGGGAGTTGAGACTTGGTGATGGATTTAAGCCAAAATAATGAAAATTAACCCTCCCAATAATTTTTGAAAGTCTCTTGCTTTCTTGGGCTATTGATTACATCTCTCTCCCCTGATCCCCCTTCCATCTGGTCAGCTTTGCAGGATAACGGCCTCTGATTATTAGAGTTTCTGTGGTTTCTTGGACACATACTGCCCTAACCCCCAACATTAATTTAGAATGCATTTGTGTTCCATGAGAGTTGCTCCTGCCTGGCATTGTGGGTAAATTAAGATTTCCTAAGACACCCAAAAGCCTCAGATGGAACATTGGAAACCAATGCTTTGGGGGTCCAGGGGCTTCCATTCACATTTATGTTCTCCTCCAGTTTGGGGTTTTAAGAGCGTCTTTCCCAGTTGGATGTTTATGTTTGTTGTTTTCTTGATTTCTTTTGTTCCGTTTTCCCCTAGGCCCCCCTGCCTTCCCCCTAAACCACAGAAAATGAGGAGACCTAGGCCTCTTTCAGTGTGTAGCCATAAACTCTTTAACGGCAGTATGGAAACGTTCATTAAGGTACTTGCTGGGGAGCCATGGAGTCCGCGAATGTGCCCAATGTAATGGCAGCCTCTGTCCACCCTCATGCTCCAGCTGACAATGTGTCCCAACTGACTTTCCATTCCATTCCTGGGCCTGTCCTGATTGAGCTAGCTCCTTGTTGCAGCTTGCTGGTAGCTTCAGTGAGGACCCTTCATCACAGCTGCTTTGCTCTGACCAGGTGCCCCTAATACTGTCCACGATTCTCAGTCCTAGGGGGAAATGCCTGATCAACCAAGTCCAAGTGGGGTTGAACCGCCAGACACTTCACTGCTTCAGGAACTGTAGTCCTAAAGCTTGAGGGACAGTTAGGAAAATCCCATTATCTACTGCTGGGATGTAGTTCAATGGTAGGTATTTACCTGCCGTGTGGGAGACCCTGAGTTCCATCCCTAGCACCACAACAGAAAGAAGAAGAAAGGAAAAACCCCATTATACTTTACACCCACATCTCTCAAGAGGAGACTGATTGAAAGCAACACCAACAAAATCCCTATGGGTAATAGTGTGTTTTTATACCAGTGCATTATTTTATTTCATTTAGTTGAGTAGATATCAGCAAAGGAAACATATACAATTTGAGTGAGAGAAATTCTTCCCACCTAGTTTTGTCTTTTTAGATGGTTTAGAACAGGGGAGAAGAGTCGAGGTGGTCCTTTTAGAATCACAAGTTAACCCATGACACCTCAAACTAAATATTAAAGCATTTTGACTAGATAAATTTCTCTATCCTTTTTTCTTTTTCCTTTGATGTAAAGGGTATAAGAACAAGTCATCCACGGGGCTGGGGTTGTGGCTCAGCAGTTGAGCGCTCGCCTCGCATGTGTGGGGCCCTAGGTTCGATCCTCAGCACCACATAAAAATAAACAAACGAAATAGGGGTATTGTGTCCAACTACAACTAAAAAATAATAAAATATTAAAAAAAAGAACAAGCCATCCCAGATAGAACCATTCTAGGCAATTTAAGATGGTGATGGTATTGCAAAGAGCAGCAGGCAGGGGGATATGCATTTTTATTACTTAGGGGAACAGAGGCAAAATCCTTTCTGGTTATTTGAGAGCCTGCCCCCAGCCAATCAAGACACTTTCTTCAGAAAAGAAGACTGGTGTCAATCAGGACACGAGTGAAGGTATTTGGGCATTGCTGATGACTTTGGAGTTATGGAGGCAGCCCCTGCGCCAGCTTTCTTTCCTCTGTATGCGTATGGGTTACATCACAGACTTTCAGGACAGAGAAGAACTAGGTACAGGGCTGGCCTGTGGAGTTGGACAGAAGGAGCCCCTGAAAGGAGGAACAAAAGGAACAAAGGTTCAGAACAGGGACAACTTCCCTAATTTGCTTTATCTTTGGAAGGAATTCACTCTTATTTGACAGTATTTGAAAATTAGGTATTCCATTGAGTTAAATGTTCTCTTAATAGATCCTACATGTATTGTGTGACTGTAAAGTCATCCAACTTCATTCCCCTGACCACATGAGCATGTGCCCATTGAGCTAGTTGCCTTGGGATGCCATCTTCTTCTTCTAATTATATCACCATCACCTTTGCTGCCACAACTTTTTAGCCAGTCTTCTTTAGAGCCCTCTTGCCTGGCCTCTGTCATTGGTGCTATAACTTTGTGTTAAAATGGACATTTTGGAATAAAAAGCTGCATTTGAAGCTTAGCTTTGTGACACCACTGGAAATCTGAAGTGGCAAAGGGAATATGGTACAGTGGTACCTGTCAACTAACTCTGAAAAAAGCCCCCAGCGCATATGAATAGTTGTGGCATCGTAGGAGTAAGTGCACTGCCTCATAAGGGGCCAAGGGAGAAGAATACTAATATGATTGGGGGAAAAAAAGGTATATTTGTTAAATGCTATTGCATTTCTTTATAGTCACATGGTACCTGTAGCACCTATAATCATTGCAGTTCAGGAAACTTATTCTGTGTGCCTACTATGAGCTCAGTAGTCAGAGTTTCAAACAGCATCGATTTACTCTGAAGGATTTTTAACTTTCAGAAAGTGAGAGAGCAGTCTAATTTATTCAGTTCTTCAACTAATGAGAATGGAATTTAATTTTTGATTCTAGTTCATGTGCTATCTTTCGGGCCATTAAATTTAAGAGTCCCCAGGTTTTGCTAGGTGCAGTGATGATCACCTGTAATCTTGAGGCTGAGGTAGGAGGATCACAAGATCAAGGCCAGCCTCAACAACTGAGAGAAGCCCTAAGCTACTTAGTGAGACCCTGTCTCAAAATAAAAGGATTGGGGATATAGCTCAATAGTAAAGTGCCCCTGGGTTCAATCCCTAGTATCATCCAATCAATCAATCAATCAATCAATCAATCTGTCCCAGCTTTGAAAAACCTCAGTGAAATAAAATCAGTGGGACTCCATGACTCTGATGTTTCAGCAGGCAAGGGAGCATTGTCAAGTTATTAATAAATAAATGTCGTTGGATTTAGATTTAGAAATTTCTAGGACTCTACTTAAATATACTTAAATCCTAGATTTTTTTTTGTTGTTGTTGTTCTCAGAAGGAGATCCCATTTTTATTCCAAGAGTGTATTTTGAGGCCCAGGAGGTACACCTCTGGGGCAGGGGACAGGCTCCATCTTGCTTCTGGGAGATGACAATGATAATGACCTACCTTATGTGATGAGGATTGAGTGAGCTTTTAGGCAGGCCATTCTTCTATAACACTGGCCAGCACAATATAAGCGCAATGTAAGTCCTGCCTATTATCATTAACTTTAGGTTAATGCTTCTAGAGCCCCCTTGGGCCAGGCTGTTTGCTCTGTAGATTCTGTGATTGAGATAGCTTTAGCCAGATGTCAGGTAGCAGATAATTCCACTTCTTGAGATGCTGGAGTCTAGATAGGTGGCACCAGCTGGGGGTCACACCTCCTCCAAATTCTCAGCTCAGCCTCCTCAACAGGCCTGACTGAGACACAGCACCCATCTCAGAGTTTGACCTACTGCCCATGTGGCAAGAAATAGCCAACAGGTTCTCTGAACACTGGGAGTTTTTAGTGAAAGCAAAGGCTCGGGTTTCACCCCTAAAATCAGAAAGGTGACCCACCTTCTCTCTGTCCTCCCAGCCTTCATCTTTGGTTTCAGCAGGGTTCCGGGTGCGAGAGGGAGAACTAGGGATAGGAAGCAGAGCAAAGCCAAGTAGATACCCAGAAAAGCAAGCCAAGTATTGGGAGAATGTGGGGAAATGTTTGAAGTTTGGGCTCTGGTGGAATCCCTCTGGCTAGGCTCCCAATAAATATCATCTTGTAAAGTTGAACTTTTTACCAAGAATGAGGATTTCTGGGCTGAATTCCAGGGACAGTGTTAGAGTAGACATAAGGTGTGTTTCTTTGCGTTGGCAGCTGGGTTTATCCTCTAGGGACTTCGGTGGGCTCTTCCCTTTTGTGAATCAGTCATCCCTTTTGTTGAAGTGAAGTAGATTTGGAGATGGGACTGAGCTCAAGATATACTTCCTGTACTTTGATAAGGACAAAGAGGCCCCTTCTTTACCGGTGTCTGGCAAAGGAGCTGAGTCTACCTGTTGGGAGGCTGGCTGAGGGTAGCTCCTGGAAGGCCAGTGAGAAAGAGAGGTCAGGGTGGCCCTCCCCACAGCAGGCCCATTGGCAGGCCCCCAGGACCTTTGCTGGCTGCCATTGCATTTTGGCGTTCACGGACTCTGAACTATCTGCTTACTATAACTGATCTTATTCCTGCATAATCTTTTCTTTTTCTCCTGCTCTGCTGCCTGTTTATTTTTTGTTATCAGAGGAAGAAGAAATGCTCGAACCAGGAACCAGGTATTTACTAGAAAGGCCCATTAGCCCCTTGCAATTGGATGGAATCTGTCTTTCGATAGGACTTGCAGAGCAGAGCCCACTTTGGCTGTTGCCAATTGGTCACATCCTTCCCTTTCCCGACTGCACTCCAGCAAGGGCAGAACTGACAGGTCGGGTGTGGAAGAGCCAGGAGCGTTGAAGTCCACGCCACCTTTGCAAGAGCATATTGCATATGCTTCCTTGTCCCCTCACCTTCTGAGGAGGCTAGTAACTTAATTTGACCCCTTTTCAAAGGAAGTTAAAAAAAAAAATTCTGTGTTCTTTAAATGACCTGAAATAATAGGGAGGTCAACCAGTCTTGGAATCCAAAGGAAATTGCCCCTTGCCCAGCCATGGAGAGTCTGGATAAGTCTACAGTCTCAGTGTGTGTATCTGCATGTTTAGCTTGTAATGACTGGAACTAGCCTTCCCTTCTTAGAGCTCAGAAGAAACCCATGGGGGCCAGCCCGGCTTCCCACAGGGCATGTTCTTAATTCTGCCATCAGGCCCCTCAGTAATGGGAAGAGGCCTTGATCTTGCCTTTGGACACATGAGCACTGGGAGAAGAAGGTTGAGTTGGAGCAAAGTGGAGTGGGAGGCAGAGCATCCTTCAAGGTCAGACTCCAGCCCCCTCCACAGGGCGGGTTCCCTCTCCCCTGTCCTAGATGTGCCTGTCAAACCTCATGATCCCAGATTCCTTGCTGGCTGGGTAAGAAGACAGAGCATTTCTTTCAGATTATCATAGCTATGCTTTTTTCTGCACTAACTAAAGACTCTTTATTGTTAATTATCACAGAGACTTTAGGATTAGCACTTTCTTGCTTATTTTCCTACTAATCTGATGGTACTAATATTCTGGCTTGAATTGTTAATTTGTGTTTGCAGTATCTTTTTCCAGTGGTGGTTGCCAAGCCCAATAAAACTCACATTTTTTTTCCCCTTAAGGATTCAGGACAAGCTATACCACTTGTAGTTGAGAGCTGCATCCGATACATCAATTTATATGGTAAGATCAATCTTGGGTCAGTACTTTCAGCTCTCTGCAGAACAGGTGCTGGACTGTTCTGGTAGGAATGAAATTCTAATTTGTCTTGGAAGACTTCCTGTCACTGTTCTGCTTCTGAGGAGGAACATGCTCCAGGGAACAGCTGCTGTTTGGAGTGCTGACGTTGGAGCTGTGTGTCTTGGTGGGTGGGGGATGGGACATAGTGGTGAGGGACCCAGGGCTTAGGATAACAGGGGTGCAATGAGGGAGTAGACAGCAGGATTATTTTAGTCCCTTTTTTTGCTCCCAACCAACCCCAGGGCCAGTAAATCAGTTAATCCTACTAGATTATAAATCCCATGGAGGAAACAGTGTCTGGGATTTGGTAACCAGTTGTCACGAGAAGGTAACTTCTGCTTATCCACTTACTCATCCCTCCAAAAATATGTTTACTGGGTGTATAACAGGCACTGTTTTGAACAGTGGGAGCACAAGGGTGAACAAGACAGATATAATGTCTGCCCTGGGGGGTTTATATTTCTAAATAAGAGGGTGAGGAAATTAACAGGCAGAAAGATAAACATGGTCATCCCTCTATATCCAAATTCCTGCAGATACCAAAATGCACAGATGCTCAGATCCATTATGTAAAATGGTGTAGTATTTGCATACACCTCTTGCAGACTTTAAATCATCTCTAGATGCCTTATAATAACTCATACAATGTGAATGCCATGTAAATCGTTGTCATGTTCTATTGTTTAGGAATAATGACAAGAAAAAACATCTGCACATGTTTGGTACAGGCATATTTTTTTCCTCAAATGCTTTCAATCTGTATTTGGTTGAATCCACTGATGGGGAAGCCGTGGATGCAGAGGGCTGACTGCAATGAAATTACAACTATGGATAATGCTACAAAATTCACTAAAAGGGGTAGAGAATGGTGGTGGTGGGGGTGCTGCTTTGACTAAGGCAGTGACAGAAAACCTCTCTGAGGAGGTGATATTTGAAATCAGTTCCAAATAAACAGAAGGGACAGCAGCTGAGCAGCCTGGTGGAGAGGATGGAGAATGGGGAAGGCCTAATGTGGGAAGCAAGGTCAGCATGGCTGTGTGGAGTGAGCCAGGACATTGGGGTCAGACACTTGGCTCCTAGAAATTCGGTACTGTTTAACAAAGAGGTGGTCAGCATTTATTGAGTATATTCTGTATACCCCCAAACTTTGACTACATACTGTCTTTAAGAGTAAATACTTCCTGAACTATAACTATAGTTATATGAATTGTTTTAGGTGGAAAACGGAATCAGGGAATGATTATGAGTCTCCCCATTAATTCCATTGAGAACGAGGCAGGTCCTTTAATCCCTCCAGTGGCACAGGTTCTGCCAGGGGACTGTCATTGGGAATGATCCTCTTGTAAAAGGTGGAGGGAGAAAGAGACAAGCAAGGGAGCGAGTTACCAATACTCCCACAGACTCATGTTGGTCTCATGTCCTTTACTGTTTCTTTCTCTGTATGTTTCTATCTTAGGACTCCAGCAGCAGGGGATCTTCAGAGTGCCTGGATCTCAGGTCGAAGTGAATGACATCAAGAATTCTTTTGAGAGAGGTGGGTGCAGAGTGGCTCTCTGAAGTTCGTGGCTGAGGGAAGCCAGGATGGGTATTGACATATGTTTTAGAACTGGCAGCTTGAAGGATTCCTGGGATTGCACTGGCTTGTGTGAGCTGATCATGTACAGCTCTTCCCAATTTTGCATTCAGTGGCTTCTCCCTGGTAGCTAGAAATCAGCCCTGACTGGAGTGTTTACACCACACCACAGAAACTGGCAAAAGCCAAGATCTGTTTGTTTCCCTCCAACAACTAACTCTTAATACTTATGTACTATTACAGGTGGAGCATTCCTGTTCTGAAAATTCAAATTTCAAAATGCTCCAGAATCCAAAACTTTTTGAACACTGACATGACACACAAGTGAAAATTTTCATACCTGAGCGCATCTGCTGGTTCACAGCCAATGTACAGTTACACTCAAAAATAAAGTCTGTAATGTGGCTGGATGTGGTAACAGTGACTGCCTAGGACCCATAGGCTATGTGTCTAAGGTATATATGAAACACAGATTTCATGTTTAGGCTTAGGTCCCATCCCTAAGATATGCCATTATAAACATGCAAATATTCCCAAATCTGGAAATCTGAAACACTTTTGATCCCACGAATTTTGGGTGAGGGTTGCTCATCCTGTACAATTGCTTGTGGCTGACTTTCTTTTTGAAAAAAGAGCCTTTTAAGTCTGTAAAGGAAGCTTTGTTTTAGAAAAGTTGAAAGAACATAGATAATACTGAGTGACTTTTAATATAGTCCAATTCTTCATTTTAATAGTGTTTTTGGCAAGCTGTGCATTGAGAGGAAGAGACCACTCTTCCTTCACCCCCAACTTACTTGCCACTTTGATTAGCCAAGGATATAAATGCTTATTAGAGGTGTGCCATTACATGCCTGTAATTTCAGCGATTCAGGAAGCTAAGGCAGGAGGATCACAGGGTCAAGGCCAGCCTCAGCAACCTAGTGAGACCGGGTTTCAAAATAAAAAATAAAAATTGCTAAGGATGTGGTTCAGTGGTAAAACAATGTAGTGTTCAATCCCTAGTATCAAAAACCAAAAACTAAAAACACACATAAAAAAAAAAAAGAAAGAAATAGAAAGAAGGAAAGAAAGGAAGGAAGGATGGGGGAGGGAGAGAGGGAGTGAGAAGGAAGGAAGGAAGGAAGGAAGGAAGGAAGAAATGATGTGGACACCAAGACAGGATACCTGTGATTTTTTTTTTGGGGGGGGGGGGGGGGATATCCTCCATTGGCCTCAGAATCCCTGATGAGGCAGGTGGTTAGAGATATTGTCCACAGAAAGGAAGGACTTACCTATGCCTTTGGCTATGCTGTGCTTGTCTTGTTGTTTTGGGGGAACAGGAAGCACTAGCAAGTTCAAATCTTCATCGCCAGGGAGGATGAGGAGTTCCCCAGAATTAATACACAGGTATCCCAGACAGTGTCTCTGCCTCCAGTTTTCTAACATTTTAGAGAGACCCAAAGTCCATTTCCATAATCTGTCTCATCTCAATGCTGATTTACTGCCTTATTCTCCAAATGGTTCTGATACTGATTTTGGTCTGAGGACCCTGATCCCAAATCCATTTCCTAGCAACACATCACATCCCAATGGACGAAAGAGCACATTCTCACCCATTCTTTCATGTAAGCCTCTAACAGTCTTGGGAGGTGGATGGTTTACCTCTGTTATTATGCTTGGAGCAGGCCTCTCCCTGAGGTCCCACCTACAGAATTCTCTCTGTTGCCTCACTTTCCCTGAAGGAGCTGCCTCTCAAGCAACCTCCCTGCATCCCAGTCCTCTCAACTGCATGCTAAGATTGTCCAGCTGGAGTGGAGGAAGCATCCTGCAGCTTCAAACCCTGCCTACCCCACACACAGGACTTTTGCAGCCCTATGCGCTCTGGCTTGGAACCAGGTGTCAAGAATGTGATTTGGCTGAAGTAGTGCCCAGTGGCCTCTGAGGGGCCAGGGGACCTTTAGCTCTGGAGTCCACACCAGGATCATGGGTGCATAGGACAGAGAGCCCAGAACCATCCTGTCCCAGGCTCTCTAGGGCGTTTATTCAGGCACTCGACATGCACTCCACTGTGTGAGGTAACAGACTAAAGCCAGGAAATGCAATACGAACCAATGGGTACTACTAGAGGGGGAGCCAGTTTAACAAACAGCACGATCGGTGCATTGCTGGGGTAAACACTAGGCAGCATAAGAGCCCCTTACCTGACTTGGATGAACAGAGGAGGAATAGCAAAGCCAGGGAAGGCTTCTCTTGGAGGAAAAGCCTAAGCTGAGGCCTAAGGAGAAGGAGCCAGGGGAAGCAAGGGCTTTCCAAGCCAAGGCAAAGGCCATAAAGCAAGAAGCATCTATTGTTCATCATTGCCCTGCATCTCTCAATGTCACATGATGGCCCATTCTAGAGTTCTGTCTCTTCATTTCCCCAAACTCCTTAGCACCCCTGCTCTCCTGGGTTCATGGTAAATGAACAAAACTATGGTCTGGAACTCTGACTGGTCCTATGCTCCTGGGCCCATCTCATTACCCAGAATTCCTTATTGCTCTGCCCCAGATCTCTTGTGTGAACTCCCTGCCCCTTGCCTCCAGCTGGCAGGCGCCTCATCCTTGCATTTTCCTGCTTCTCCATACCCTGTAGGTAACCTTGTTGAAACAGACAGCCCTAGCCTCTCCCCAGCCCCACAGGGCTGCTTTCTTCCCTTCTCCAATGTGATTGTCTAAGGTCAGCACCTCCTGTCACTTGCTTGGGTGCTTCTGTAGGGGTGATGTGTAATTGAAAAGAATTTTCTGCTCCTAACAAGCCTTGGATCCCCTCAGGCAGAGCCCAGCTGGGCAGAGATCACCTGACCCACATCTCAGCTGCAAAAAACATTTTCTCTTTTCTCTTTGCCTCACGTACACAATTGGCCCCTTTCCCTTTCCCCAGGATTCCAAAATGAATCTCATTGTCTCGCCAGCCTTGTTCTCTGTTCCACCTGAGGCCACAATGAGGCATAGCTTCTAAAAGAATAGTCCCTGGTATGTCTTTTTTAGAAAAATTTATTGTTGGCTTTTCTGGACTGCCCAGTGCCCCAATTTCTCACTTATTCTTTTCTGTTTCTTGATACTTGCCATTAAGTGCCCTGGGTCTGGCTTCTTACCTGGGCAATCCCAGGGATATTCTCCCACCTTCCCTCAGACTAGTGTTATTTCCTCTTCCTGGCTCACTCCAGGTGGCCTATGCCCTGGACCAAGAGCCTTCTGGGAAGAAGGGCCAGAAATAATGGTGTGTGTATACACAAATGTGTGTGTGTGTGCACGTATATTTAAAATCACTGTTAATCATGCTTAGCAGTGGGAGCTAACAGGTAATATGGAGAAAAAAAATCCATGTGATTTTTGAATCCTAAGACCACAACCTGAAAATAGAGCACATTTTCACATTTCTCAGGCTGCTGCAGAGAGGGAGAGGGAGAGGGAACCGAGGAGGTGGGGTTTGTACTCCCTCCCCACAACTTCAGGCAACAGCTTTGTTCTGTATATTGGGATTTCATAGGAACTCTTTTTTTCTTGAGGGAAAAAATAAAATAAAATCTGGGCTGGGGCTGTAGTTCAGTGGTAGAGTGCTTGCCTAGCCTGTGTGAGGCCCTGGGTTCAATCCTCGCACCACATAAAAATAAATAAATAGAATAAAGGTATTATAAAAAAAATTCTTAAAATTAAAAGGCAAAATTCTATTGTAAAGGAAGGAGAGTAGGAGAGTGGGTGGAGGCGTGTGTATACACAGGCAGCATGCAGACGAGCAGAGAGAGAGATTTGAAAATCACACTTAAAAGAAAGAATGTCTCCCAGGCATGAAACCTGGGACTGCTGGTGTCTGCTCTGCCTACATGAGTTTAGGCACATTGCTTTGCCTGACTGGGCTTCTCTCTCCCTCAGGAGAGAAGGATGTTGAAACCAACCCTCCCTTGGGGCCTTGCGGTGCTGATGTTTCAGACATCACTTGCCTGAATGTGCTTCTTACTTGAAAAGGTCCTTGTGCATATAGGCAAATATTTTTTTTTAATTTTTTTAATATTTATTTTTCAAGTATCGGCGGACACAACATCTTTGTTTGTATGTGGTGCATGAGGATCGAACCCGGGCCGCACGCATGCCAGGCAAGCGCGCTACCACTTGAGCCACATCCCCAGCCCCGGCAAATATTTTTTAATGTGTTCTTTTTTTCCTTTCCCATGAGGAAGTCTTGTGGGGGACAAATTCTTATCTCCTCTGAGAGGTTAATCTATAGAACATCAGCATCTGAGCTGCCACACATGGTTGTTCAGGCTGGGCACTGCACAGGGATGACAGCCAAGAGGGCAGGTCAGAGTGGAACTCTGGCTTCTGCCCTATAAATCACAAGCCCGGTACAGGAAGGAAGGGACCCTTTCTCTAATTTGCACTGAAGTATATTGGAATCGGCAGAGACCCTGCTAGTGACACACATTCACTTCTGACAGAGGCAGAATGAAGAGATTCAAGTATGAGCTGCCAATTCTTCCCTCCATTGCCAGACTTAAGGTACTGTGGGCTGCTTAGGAGAAAGAGGGAGAAGCCCGTTTTGCAAACATCCCTCAACACTTTCATGAAGGCATTAGATTGCTCTTGGCTTTTTCTTATCTCTCCCATGGAAATTCCCAGTGATCAACCAGCTCAACAGCCCTGGATTAAAATGAACAGTGCTTCTCCCTAGATGAACAATTGGCAAAAATTCTTGAGATTGACAGGATGCCATGGGCAGGGCTACGGAAAATAGTACTCTCAAGGTGATGTTGCTGGTAACAGGATAAAGTGGTGTAGCCCCAGTGAAGAAGAATTTGGCTGTATACTTTAAACCATTTCTAAATAACTTATAATACCCAATGCAGTGTTCATGCCCTATTATTAGTTATTAGACTGTACTGTTTGCAGTTAAGCCTGCATATGTTTAGTATATAAGCATTTTTTTTCTTTGGAAAAATATTCCATCCTCTGTTGGTTGAATCCATGAATGTGGATCATGCAAATATGGAGGGCCAACTGTACATGTGTTTGCTTATTTATGTTTCCAGAAATAAAGTAGAACAAACTAGAAACTAACAAAAATGGTTAAGTATGAAGTATAGATGGAGAAGGATAAAAGAAGATCATGTCTCAGAGCAATTTTCAATCTGGTTTTAACTCTTGGACTCTGTTACTCCTTGGTGTTTTCAAAAGTGTAATTTTTTTTTTTTTTTTTTTTGGTACTGGGGATTGAACTCAGGGGCACTTGCCCACTGAGCAGCATCTCCAGCCCTATTTTGTATTTTATTTAGAGACAGGGTCTCACTGAGTTGCTTAGTGCCTCATTTTTGCTGAAACCTGCTTTGAACTTACAATCCTCCTGTCTCAGCCTCCCAACCACTGGGATTACAGGCATGCGTCACCATGCCTAGCTTTAAAACTGTAAATTTTTAAAAAAGGATTTCTAAAAAAAATTAGCCCCTATAATTGAATACAAATAGAAATAATTTAACTGTATCAAATTGGTAATCACAGAAAGTAACTTTCAAACATGATCTGTGAACATACATTTTTAGCATACACTTTAACATACATTTTAACTCTATTGAGTTACCTACCATATGTTCACCATTTTTTAAAGTCTACATTTCAATGATTTCTAGTATATTTACTGATTGTGCAGTCACCATTGTAATCCAGAATTCTTTCACTGTCTTAAACAGGAACCTCGTACTCACATATGGTCACTCCTATATCCCACACCCTGCCCCAGGCCTTGGCAACCACTAAGCTATTTTTTGTCTTCTGAATATACATCTTCAGTGGGATACATTCCAAGAACAACAACCAAAAAAAAAAAAGGGGGGGGGGAGAAAAAAACTAAAACTAAATAAAAATAAAAGCAGAGTCCTAGAAATAAATCTTAAATTGTACACAGTAGGTTTATCGTTAATAGTAATATTGCTATTAAAACTCTGATAGTATTTTATGCATATTGTAGGATAAAACAGAAAAATATATTATCAATATTATTCAGAACCAAGATTTTCACTACAAAATTAGATATACAGATGCTTCACAATTTACAATGGGAGTATATCCTGATAAACACATCATAAATTGAAAATACCATAGGATTGGAAAAGCATTGAATGAATCTAACCTACTAAACACCATGGCTCAGCCCAGCCTAATTTAAATGTGCTCAGAACACTGACGTTAGCCTAGAATTGGGCAAAGTCATCTCACACAAAAGCCTATTTTATAAAATGTTAAATATCCAATGTCATTTATCAAAGACTAATTGGTCTGGATATTTTACACCATCAAAAAGTCAAAAAATTGTCCCTTGGGCTGGGGATGTGGCATGCGCGGGGCGCTGGGTTCAATCCTCAACACCACATAAAAATTAAAAAATAAAGATATTGTGTCCACCTAAAAAAAAAAAACCTAAAAAATAAATATTAAAAAAATTGTCCCCTCAACCAGTTGTAAGCTGGCAACTGTCTATATGAATACAAAATAAATGAAGTAAAGAAAACCTTGTGTCTTAAATATAGTTATGATACATCAGTATGAACTCATGAAAAACAATGTGCATTTAAGTTTTATTCACTGAAAAGGCCAGGAAGCTCTTTATGTTACCATTCTCTACAAATAACAGAAGGCTCCTTGGAAAAACCTTTAATTCCAGATATGGGTCAAGGAAAGTAAAAGGGCTTTTTTTTTTTTGTCCAGAAAGCAAAGAACTGCTCAGTGAGGATCACATTAAAAGGACATAACAAAGGATTCCCCAGCCAAATGTAGGACAATTTAAGCAATCCCAAAGAACAATAATGGTAATAAATTATAACACATTGAATTTAAATAACATAAAATGTCTCTAAAGATGCTGACAAATAAGGGGAAGAGGGAACACAGGGAAAGCTCTTTCCAAAAGAATCCCAGCTAATAGCTACAGGAGAAATGAAGATATGAAAAATCACCACTTTGCAATCCCCAGTGTAACAGTTTGGGTACAAATCATCATTGGATGCCCAAACCACTGATGCAATGTGTTGGGCACAGTGAAAAGCAGGCAGTCTCAGGGTGTCAGGATACTTAGAGTATCGTTTCATAAATCACTTATTTATTATAAAGGGGAAAATAGCTTCACAATGTAGAAATCTGGAGGCCACCACCATAACCCAGCCATCACAGAGCCTCACCAGGAGCAGGACAGCCTGACGTATGCGTCACCTGATGGGATGTAGGGAAGTGTCCACCATGTCACTCCTGCAATGCTTGTTTTGTTCTGTTTTTTACACATGCGGTATTCTTGCCGAAGATACTTAACCTGAACCTGATCACGAGGAAGCAATCAGACAAATCCAGAGTATGACTCTATTCTGCAAGACAGCTGGCCTGCACTTTTTTAAAAATATTTTTTAGTTGTAAATAGACACAATATCTTTATTTATTTATTTTTATGTGGTGCTGAGGATCGAACCCAGGGCCTCACTCATGTGAGGCAAGACCTCTGCCACTGAGCTCCAACCCCAGCCCCTGGCCTGCACTCTTCATAAAAGAGTCAGCACTTAAAAAGACCAACTAACAAACTAAAATATTAAGAGTCTGTTTTCCATTTCAAGGGCCAAGGGAGCATAGCCAGCAAAGGAATTGGGTGAACATTGATTAGATCTTAGATTTTTGAAAAATATCTGTAAAAGATGCGATGGGACAATTGGGGAAGTTTGAAGGTGGGCCAGGTGTGAGATGTTATTTTGGAATGATGGTTTATTTTCTTAGGAGTAATAACATTATTGTTGTTATGTGCAAATATCCTGGTTCTCGGGAGAAATGTGTTGAAGTACTTGGCAGTGACCTGTCATGATGTCTATGGAGTACTCTCCAACAGTTGAGCAGCAATAAATATAAACAGGAAAAGACAGAAAGCAAATATAGCAGGAGGAGAATAAGTGAAGGGCAATGGGTGTTCCTTATTTTATTTTTCCAACTTTTCTATAGATTTCAATATTTTCAAATGGGAAGTTGCAGGGAAAACTTTGAACTTGAGGGTGGTGTCATATATTGGGGAGGTGTGTCCCTTCTGCCTTCCTTCTGGTTCAGGCTGGTCCATATCACCTCTTTTGCCATCTACATGTTCTGTGCCTCCTTACCAACCTGAAATATTGTCTCCTTTTTCCACCCAGGTGAAGACCCCCTTGTGGACGATCAAAATGAGCGAGATATCAATTCAGTCGCTGGTGTTTTAAAACTGTATTTCCGAGGACTGGAAAATCCACTCTTTCCTAAGGAAAGGTTTCAAGATTTGATATCTACTATTAGTAAGTATTTCCCAGGTTGAACGATCACTTCCTGGACAAATCTTAATTGCTGTTACACTTTGGGCTCATCACTATGGTAGGCATGGAAGAGGAATATTGTGAAAGAAGAAGTGTGGCCATGGTCCTTAGAGAACCTGGCAGGTGGAGACAACAGAGTGTTTACAACGAGAAGGAGTACAGAAGGAACTCAGAGGAGAAGCCCAAGGGGGCTTGGATTCACAGGTCAGACCTCAGAGAGAAGTGTTAGCAAGTCTTCCCGAAGGAGTGGACACAGGGAACCTTGGGAAGATTTGGGGACACAACCATTGGAATCAGCAGGAAGGTGTCCAGCCTGTGTGTGATGTGATAGACTGGAAAAGGAAGACGGAACAAAAAGGGGAAGACCTTGAATGCTTGCAAGGGTTCCAGGGCTTTTTGCCTTGGGTAATGGGGAGCCAGGGAAGGTTGGTGGTCAGGTCAGCAACATGATGAACAAGGAAAATGGTGAAACTAAGGTGACTGGGGGTCCCTCTTACGTTGTTAATTGTGAGCATCTTTCTCTATGAGCCCCATGCCATGTACTCATCCAGTGTTTCCAGAACCCCCCCCATTCCAGTTCCTGAGCAGACAAGAACATTGACTTCCAGCTCGTGCCATGACATTGCCTGACCTGAATCACTCCACGAGAGTCCCTTTCAGTTCCTTCCTAAATCCTGTGACCACATCAAGGAAAAAACCTCACATTGACTTCCAGCTTCTATTCTAAACAGGGAGAGCCAGGTTTCTGTATCAGAAAGTTTGTAGACAACAATGTCTACTTATAATTTAGTAACATTGCTTTGCTTTAATGTACAATAGTCCCCCCTTCTGTGGTTTTTGAGTTACCTATAGTCAACTGCAGTCAGAATATATTAAATGGAAAATTCCAGAAATAGTTCATAACTTAAAAATAATTTTTTGGAGTAATTTGTTATTATTATTCTATTTTTATTAAATTATCATTGATTTCTTCCTGTACCTAATTTAAATAAATGTGTTTAAGAAAAAACATTGTTGCTAGGCACAGTGGCACATGCCTATAATCCCAGCAACTTAGAAGGTTAAGGCAGGAGGGTCTCAAGTTCAAGGACAGCATCCGAAACTTAGTGAGACCCTGCCTCAAAATAAAAAAATTAAAAAGACCGGGGCTGTATCTCAGTGACAGAGCACCCTGGATTCAGTCCCCAGTACCAAATTCTTGTACCGGGGACTGTGTGTGTGTGCGCGCACACACACACACACACACACACAACCAATATTAATAAATAATAGTAGAGGTGGTACTTGGGCAGGGATGACTGAAGTTAAGGACAGAGGCATCTGAAGTGAGCAGCATTGGAACTGATTTGTGTATAGGAGATTCTGATTCAGAATTTGGGCAGCTTGGGCAAGGCTTCCTGGAGCAGGCTTGGAAGGTAAGCTATAGGGATCACTATGTGTATGAAGGCTCAACAGTGGCAACTTCTGTTTTGAAAGGGTGATGTGATAGATAAAACTACCTGGCACAGGATTACTCATGGGGCCACTGTTGGAATTTATGGCAGAGAAATTTCTTGTGCGACTCACAATTCAGGACACTTGGAACCCAGGCCCTTAGATACCAAGTGCCAGCGCTACTGTTCAGTCGCTGTAGCAGCCCCACAGGAGGCCCTATAGATATGTAAGCACCCCTCATTTGAGAAGCATAGTTCTCCGTCATCTCCAGGCACTTTGGGAAGAGCTGGCAGCTGGAGATGATAGCTGTGGCTCTGGTGTGAGGGCCTTGGATGCAGAGGAGAAATGAGAAAAGCTGTGGGTTAGAAGGAATTCCCTGATGGAATAAGAAGGCTGGACAGGGGCTGCATGAGAAAAATGTTACCTGAAAAAGAAACTGACATCATGCTGCACATCAGCCACATAAACTTAGGAGCTCTGAGAGCTCACTTTTCTTAGCACCAGCTTTCCATGTCCATAAGGCACTTGTGTCCTCTTACCAAGTCCAACTGGCTGCTCCAGCCCCTGGCCTGACTAATAAAAGTACCAGTGCCGGTCTCTCCAGATGGCACTGGAGAGATGAGATTACAAGCATCTTCCAAGTTCCTGGCCAATAGGTAGCTTGAGAGATGGTTATTTTCCCCACCCTTTTTTACCTGAGCAGCTACTATGTGCCAGTCCTGTGCTGCAGTTGGTGAATGTGAGGAGTTTAATAAACACGATCCCTGTATGTGTTCATCAGGAGTTGCAGGTGACAGTAACTCAAACTGACCTAAGCCATAAAAGAGAATGTATTCATTGATGTACCTGGAAAGTTCAGACCCAGGTGAACTCAGAACCTCAGCTGGTATCAGCAGAAAGCAGTCCCTCCTCTGTCTCTGTGCCAGCCACATTCTCAGGCAGGATCTTGCTTCCCAGCAGCCCCTACCTGCTCCAGATTTCCCTCTTCCCTGGACCAAGGACACCTTTCTGTAGGTTTCTCCAGCCCAAAGTCCTGAAGACCAACTCTGATTGGTTCTGGGTGGGACACACCACCCACCTCTCCCTGAGACCTGGGGATGGGACACACTGATGGGCCAGGCTGGGCTTATATGTGGATCCACCAACTGTGAGCAGAGCCGCTGCCCCAACCCACTGACCCACTGGGGCTGATGACAGAGGGGAGACATGAAAATGTGTTCAGGGTGAAGAGCACCCTGAAAAGCCCCTTTATGTTACAGAACTGGAGAACCCAGCAGAGAGGGTGCACCAGATCCAACAGATCCTCATTACCCTCCCCCGCGTGGTCATCGTGGTCATGAGATACCTCTTCGCTTTCCTCAACCAGTGAGTGCCTGACCAAGGGGCCCTTCTTTGGCTGGCCTCCATTGGGAGGGGGCGGCCTGAGGCGTTTGCAGGTACTTTTGTTTTTAAAGCAGAACATGGAGCCTCCTGGGTTTAAGTAGAGCCTACCCGCAAAGAAAGAAGCCCAGAGGGAGGATTTGCGTATCCCAGATGACTCCTGCCACCTCCTCTCTCCAGCCTCTCCCAGTACAGTGACGAGAACATGATGGACCCCTACAACCTGGCCATCTGCTTCGGGCCCACCCTCATGCACATCCCTGATGGGCAGGACCCTGTGTCCTGCCAGGCCCATGTCAACGAAGTCATCAAAACCATCATCGTCCATCATGAAGCCATCTTCCCTAGTCCCCGGGAGCTAGAGGGACCTGTGTATGAAAAATGCATGGCTGGAGGGGAAGAATATTGGTAAGATGCTATTCCTTCTAACAGTAATATTGTCATCCTTGTTGTTGAACAGTAAGAAACCCTTCCGTTTTCTTACTGTGTTGAGCTTATACTTCCATATACATTTTCTCATTTGAGCTTTGAACCCCTCTTATATGAGACTAGGTTCACCAGTCAAGATTCTAATGGTTACAAGGGACAGAACTGAAACCAGCATAAGCCAAACGTGAATTTATGGGATTGCTTAACTAAGAAGTCTGGGAATGTATCTTCAGGAGTGGCTGGATCTGGGGACTGAACTCTGGTCATGAGGACTTTGTCCTGCAATCTCCATCCCTTGGCTCTAGTTTCTTCTGTATTGATTTTATTCTCAGACCATCTCTCCCTTGATGGTACCAAGAAGGCAGCCAGAAACTCCAGCTTTAAATCCATTCTCTGAGCACCCTCAATAGGAAAAGAACTTCTTTCCTTGTGTTCCCACATAAGCTCAAGAATTGTTTCTGTGCTGACATTTGGTCTGGTGATGTGTGATTATGGTTACATTGGCAAGGAGAGGTGTTGCTGTCTCTGGCAGGTGAGGCAAGGCCCCTCTCAGGAAGGAGGGACATGAGTAAGCCCTGCCTGACCACATGCACCCTTCATGCTCCCCCCCACCAGATGTCTCTTGAAGGTCATGAGCTTGATTCTTAGAGTGTTCCACTCCAGATCAGCATCCTCTAGTCAGACCACCTTTGTGTTCCTGGGATGACACCCAGTCTTAGGAAAAATATTTTAGGCCATTTTCAGAATCAGGGATGGCTGTGTTTCAGGCTAAGACCTTAAAATGTCAAGACAGGAAAACAGTTTAAAAATGCAATTAAAGGGAGACAATAGATAATGATAATGTCCAGTGTATTTCAGAAAGCTAGAGAAGAGGAATGTTTTCACTATAAAAAATGATAAAGGGTCTGAGGATGTAGCTAGTGGTAGAGCATGTGCTTAACATAGGTGCAGCCCCGGGTTCCATTCCTGGCACCACACACACACTCACACACATACACACTCACACATACACACATACACACTCTCTCACACTCACACAATCATGCTTACACACCCACACTCACACACTCACACACACACTCACACTCACACAATCATGCTCACACACCCACACTCACACACTCACACACTAACACACACTCACATTTGCACACACACTCACACACACATATACACTCACACACACAGGTACATATTTAAGGGGCTGGATTTACCCTGGTTTAAACATTACACAAAGCATACATGTATGGAAACATCACACGGTACCCCATAAATATGTACAATTGTTATGTTTTCATGCATCAATTGAAGTCTGTAAATTTCAAAAGAGAGAGGCAATACTCCATGAAAAAAAACAAGTACGACAAAGCATGAAACCCAGCACACCCAGTGAGAGCAACCAGCCAAAGAGTGACCATTATTTCTTTACTCTGGATCCAGAACAATACACAGCTGTGTATATTTAGGTCTTACCTGCACTGCTTCCAGCCAGCTGCCTTTGGGGGAGTTTGTTTTTGATTGTCACAATGTCCCTGGACTTGTGGATTGCCTTAGTTCTCTGGACATATTTGGAGAACTTCTTCAAAGGGGGCCGTATCCCAGTGCCTTTGTCCCCCACCACCACATCTCCTTGCATAGAAGTGCTCATCAGCGGTGATGTGTGATCACAGCTTTCTGACCTCCTTTGAGGCACCAGGGGGCAAGTCTGCTCTGTACCAGAAGCAGCAAATGGCTACAAAGAATGCTCTCTGCACACAGAGAAGCCTTTCACACACAGTGTTGGCCAGCATCAATCCTCTCCTTGGTGCGATATGTTGGTAGGATGCGCAGTTGTCCTGGGAAGGATCCACAGATCTTAGATGTTATCAGAGAACACATATAGTGGGCACACTTTTCTCAAACCTGTTTGCTTCCCATGCAACTGGAACCTAATTAGTTTCACCATAATTTTGGAGGAGTTTTCAAGGCCAACGAGAGAGATTTGGCTGAAGGTTTCAGCACAGTAGACATCATTCATTCATTCATTCCACAGATAGTCCCAGGCCAGGTCCTGGTCTGGGAGGCAGGAAGAGAGCCTGAACAAGGTTTACCCTGATGTAGGGAGCTCAGATGGAAGAGGAGGAAGCAGGCAGTCCCAGAAGGAGGCCCCTGGCTCCAGTCGAAGGCAGTTCTAAAAGGCTTCCTGGAGGTGGTGAAGACTGAGCTGAGACAGCAGAGTAAACTGAGCCAGCCCAGTGAGGAGTGGGCAAAGAAAGATCTAGGCCTACAGCATTCAATAAAATGAGAAGAATGTGTCAAGGGAATGGTGAGGGACAGTTCCACAGGGCAGGTAGAGCCAGGTTATAGAAACTCTTGAAGCCACTGTACGGAGTCTGGACCTTACTAGATGACAATAGAGAATTTTTCATAATAAAGCCCACACCCTTTAAATGACATTGCAAATGTCACCTCCTCTAAGAACTCTCCCCTGACTATGTTAGTCCCCACTGTTTTTCTTGTCTCTGCTCATTTCTTTTCCACATGACATATTTCAACTTGTAACTGTCTTATTGATTGGCCTGTTTACTTGGACTTTTTTCTTGTCCCTCTCCATAGAAGGTAAGCAATGAGGTCAGGGACCCTATCCATCTTCCCTCTCTTTACATCCTTCCCATATGGCGTAGTGTCATCTATTAGAACTCAGTGGCTCAGTAAAAACACTGGGTGTGTGAATGATCCCTGGCCTCAAAGAACTTAGAGTCTAGCAAAGGGTAGCACCTGTGACTCATACCAGTACCTGAATGACTGGATTGGACCAACCTCAGTCTCTCGGCCACCAGGCTCATCATGGTGACCAGCCTAAATCGATCTGGGCTTTTGCCCACAGAATCATGAGGCAGCCCTTGTTGGCTTCGCTCCACCTCACAGATGTGTCACCTCATCTGTAAGAAGGGAATCAGACTGGATGAAAGGACACATGGTACTTCTGAGGTCTTTTCTGTTCTGATTTGTGGTACTTCTGATGATAAATTCTGGGGTAACTGCCCTCTGGACCTTACAGAACACATAGGCATTGTCAATCCATTTTCTGCTGCTGGAACAGAATGCCTGAGGCTGGGTAATTCCTAGTAACAGAAATTTATATGGCACACAGTTCTAGAAACTAGGAAGTCCAAGAGCATGGCGTCAACATCTGTCAAGGGCCTTCCTTCTATGTCATCCCATGGTGGAAGGCAGAAGGCAAAAGGCACAAGAATGAGCAAGCGCACAAGAGATGTTCAGGTCAGACTCAATTGTCAAACAGTTCTTGTGAGTTCTAATCCATTCCTGTGATAATAACATCAGTTCATTCATGAGAACAGAATTCATGACCCAATCACCTCGTCAGGCACCCCTTCAACACTTTTGCACTGGGGATGAAGTTTCTAACACGTAAACTTTGGGGTCACAGCCAAACCACTGACAGCCTTCGCCAAGAAGGTAACTCAGCTGGGATAGAGCTGACAGAGGGACTCAGGGAAGCTTCCAGCAAGGAGCTGGGAGTGGTTTTCTAGTTAAGAAGATCCATGGGTGATCAGTGGGAAAAGACAGGATGATGTAGGCCTGGGCCTGCTCTGGGTGAGGGCCCACACTCCCCAACAAGTCCCCTTCCTGTGTTTCCTTGCAGTGACAGTCCACACAGTGAGCCAGGGACCATCGATGAAGTTGACCATGACAATGGCACGGAGCCTCACACTAGTGATGAAGGTGAGTGAGGGGAGGTCTGGGGCCAGGAAACTCACCTGGAAAGCTTTCCTGCTGCCTCATGCCACCCCACAGGGCTGGCCCACATAACCCTCCAGCTCCAGGTCAGCACTGCCATCCCTCAGAACAGATGGGCACTCAGGGAAACCTCAGGAAAAAACCTCCATTGCGCAGGGCAGCTTCCGGCACAGGCCAGACAGAGCAGATCCTGGGAGCACGCGCTGTGTTGGCCACACCCCACTCCTGGCTCACGTGATCCCTCTGTGTCCTGCCTGGCCCAGGTGCAGATCCTAAATGGCAAGAGTGTCCCAAGTAGGAAGCAACCACTGTCCCACTGTCCCACTGTCCCTCTGTTCCTCTGTCCCTCTCCCCTGCATACCTGTTCTGCACCAGGCCTATGGTAGGACCTGAGACGAGGAGGTGAAGGAGACGGGTCTGTCTCCAGACCTCGACAGATTGGACACAGCTCCACGTGATGATGCAGAGTGGTAATGCCAGGCTGCGGGTGCATCCCAGAGCAGCAGGCACCCAGACATGACGCCAGGGTGATGACCCTGGGAAGTGTGTGGACAGGGAGAAAGGCCAGCTGGGCTTTGAGGGACTCACTAGATTCTTCCACCCCTACTAGACTAGGAAACTGGACTGTGTGGACAAGCAATCTGGGTAACATGGACCAAGAGCCAACTTACCTGGGCAGAGTGGGCACAGTGCCAGGGCCCTGGATACTTGCAGGGCCCACTAATATGCTTTCATTTCTTTTAAAAGCAGAAGGAAAATGAATATGATGTCCAGTCTGGATTATGCTTGTCTTTATGCCAATGTAGTTGTAAAATACAATGATTATTTTTTTAATAGTGGAAGGGATTCCTGCAGGCCTAAGTGCCTAGGGCCCATGGCAGTCATAATATGACCCTATGTGGCCAAGCATAACCTTTTTTCTCCTTGTCATAGTTTTATGTTTTTTAAAAATCATAACTTGTCAGTTCTTTTACTTGGCCTTTGTATTTTCCTTGGGAGACAATCCTAGGCCCTGTTGGCCAGCACATTTGTCAGGGGAATTTATTTACTCATGTGAAGTTTCTAGGAGTTGGTAATAAAGGCAACACAGGGTTTTCACATTGTAGTAGAACTATTTGGTTGCTAATGACAGAACCCCCAACTCAGATAGACTTACACATAAAAGGGAATCAGGTCATACACCTGAAAACTCCAGGATACGTATGACTTCAGGCACAGTTGGATCCAGGAGCACAGACACTTTTGTTAGGACTTTGTGTCCATCTTCCTGTTCAGCTTCCCTCTGTGCTGGCTTCGTTCTCAGGTGGAATCTTGCTGGGAGGTGGTCTCACAGTTCCAGGCTTTCACTGTTCTATTTCCCAAAGTCCCAACGGGAAAAGCTTCATTTTCATCATGTTTCTAAGAAATGTCCGGGGGCAGAGTCTCCATTGGACTGCCTTGGGCCACACCCAAGCATCATCAAATCCCTGTGATCAGGGAGGGAGCTAATGGTTAGGCCTGGGTCACAGGTGCAGAAGACCAAATCTAGATGTAACATTCATCTTAGCCAAATCCTAGGGGTCTAAAGGCATCCTGGACTGAGGCGAGTGTCCTGCAAAGACTTCACTGGAGATGTGAAGGCCACCACCTTCTGCTTTTTCAGAGTGATCTGCTTTCCTTTTCCCTTCTGTTCCTCCCTCCCTCCCTCCCTTCCTCTTTCTGCCACCTCCAGTTCCCCCCCCGCCCCCCCCCTCTCCCCCCCCCCCCCCCATCTCTCCTTCCCAATTCTTCCTCTCTGGCTTTTGCCTCCCTCTCTCCCTCAACTTTTTTTCTCTCCCTCTCTCCTTTCCCACCCTTCTCTCCCTCTCCCTGCCTTCTCCCTCTGTGTGCCAGTGTGTAGCTCCCTCTTGCTCTGGATCTTTCTGTTTCTCTTCTTCCCCTGGGGAAAGCCCCTCTTATGTTAAGAGGTGGACTGATTTTTCAGAACCAAGACCTGCCAGGGCTGCAGCCTATGGAGACATCTGGCTGGCAAGAGGGCAGGTCAGGTGGCCTCTGAGGACCTCTGCAGCTCTGCGCGTTGACTCGTGTACCCAGGACCTGCCGGTGCCTGCTGGCTATTCCCACAGCTCCAGGACTGCGAAGAATGTACACACAGAAGAGAAATGTCCAGAGAACGGGAGCCTGGCAACCTCTGAATGTTCCTTCTGAGCCTCTGGGCATAGTGCGTTTGGTTGCTCAGGTCCTTTCAGAGGCCTGCCTATGGACAAAGGGCCGAGGTGACCAAAGTTCATGTTCCTCCTCAGCAGCTGGAATCGCCCATCCATCCTGCTTCTGTAAAGGCTTCCCAGGTCCATTCCGAGAGGCTCTTTCAGTGTCACTTTCATTATTATATTCCTTTTATCTTCATGCCTCACACCAAGAACCACCCCCAAGAAAATTCTTCCCACCTCTTCTCATGACAAGACATGCACCTGCTCCTTGAATGGGTGAGGCCAGCAGTGTCCCCTTCCCCTGTAGGGCCTTGTTCCCATCGCTCTTCATAGGGCTGCTGGATTCTAAGAATGCCAGAGGTAGGGAGAACCACCCTAGAAAGGAGGCAAGGTCAGGTGCTCACACCCTGAGGACCCTGGAAGCCCCCGTGTGTGTGCATGGGGCTGCTGGAGGGCGTTCTTTGGAGGGAAATCTATTGCATTTTCTGAATGTTACATTCATGCTGACCCTGGCCATAGTTATGGAAATAGTAAACCACAGGGACGGTCGAGAGGGCGCTGGACTCAGAGAAGAGACCTGAAATTGAAACACAGGAGTCCTCCTGTGTGGCCTTGTTATCTGAGGCAAGTCACATAACCTCTGGCCTCACTTTCTTTATTTGTAAAATGGGTGTGACAGCCATGAGGGAATCAAGTCCTGGGTTAAAATGAAGGGTTGTACATGTAGGAGCTTCACCCAGTGCCTGTGAGAAGGCAGGGGGTAGAAACATGAATGCTTCTCTAGTGAGTTATAAATCCTTTCTAATTCTGACAGGGAAACTGAGTCCCAGAGAATTTTGTTGTTCTAACTAGTCATGGCAACCTAAATTTATTTTATCTAAGAGGCTTCATTGGGGGACTCATTAATACCCTCTTTTCTCTTGAAAATGCTCTGTGTGAATGTAACCTTGTAGGCTTTGAGGGTCAGCCCTAGCATCATTTTTTGTTTTAAAGCCTATTTTGTACCAGCTTTCCTATGATTGCAGTTTACAGTTCTTTATTAAACAATTGGTGTCTTTGAAACCAAAGTGCATCTTTTGTAGATGACCCAAGGTTAGACGATATTTTTTTTAACTCTGATAATCTGTTTTTTTTTTTTTAATACTGGGGAATCTCTTCACTTTAATTAGATTGTTTTAACCCATTCACCTTTAATACTATATTGGTATGGTTAGATTTGTGTCTCCCATTTCACTTTTTGTTATTTGTGTGTTTCTTGTCTTTTTCATTCCTCTGTTTCTTCTTTTTTGCTTTATTTTGCACTAGGTATTTTAATTTCTTTAATGATTTATTTCACTTTATTTTTGAGGTTTTTTTTAAATGGTTGCTCTAAGGTTTACCATATACATCTTTACTTACTAAAATGAAATTCTGAATTTATATTAGCTTAAATACTAGTGCTATGTGAAAATTTTATTCCTGTTTAGTTTTATTCTCTTTTTATGGTGTTATTGTTATACATCTATTTGTGTTAAAAAAACACAATGCTTTATTATAATTATTACTTTGCTATCTGTGGTCCTATATAGCCTTGTTCCTACCCCCTTGTGCTATTATTGGCAAGTTTATACATTTTTGTGTTATAGGCCCAAAATCATATATACACATTATTTTATACATTTGCTTCTTTTTTCAAATATATTTTTTGAACTGTAGATGAACACAATACCTTTATTGAATTGATTTATTCATTTTTATGTGGTGCTGAGGATCAAACTCAGTGCCTAGTGTGTGCTAGGCAGGTACTCTACCACTGAGCCACAACCCCAGCCCATATCCTTGCTTCTTAAATCAATTCAGAAAAGGAGAAAATATGCATTTATATTGTTTTTTATAATCACATTTACTGGCACTCTTTTGTGTGTGTGAACGTAAGTTATCATAGGGGTTACTGCCTTCAGCAGTAAAAAAAAAAAAAAAAACTTAGTCTTTTTAAAAGGTGGCTTTGCCAGTGACACGTTTTCTCAGTTATTTTAAACTTGGAAAGTCCTTTTATCTCATTTTTGAATGGTGTCTTTGTTGGATGTAGGATTCTTGGTTGACAGATCTTTTCCTTGAGCATGGCCTTCCACTGTCTTCTGGCACCCATTGTTTCTGTCAAGAAATCAGCAGACAAATGAGGGCGATGTCCCAGATGTCTGGTGAGAATTAAGCATGATGATGTAGGTAGAGCAGTTTGCACATACTAAAAGCTGAATTTGTTCACACAAACAACAAATATGTACCAAGTGCCTACTAGTCCCAGGGACTCTTCTAGAGGTGGGACGATAGCAAGAAATAAAATGAAATCTCTGTCCTAATGTTGTTCACAGTGTAAAAAGACTGACAGTAAACAAGTCTAAAAATCACATGAGCACACACACACTCAGACACACATATAACTTCAAGTTGTAATAAACACTATGGAGAAAACCCCCAGAAAGTGATTAGGCAATTGGGGCTTCTGTGATTGGGTCTGGTCAGGAAAGGCTTGTTAAGGCAATGGCACTTGAGTACAAACCTGAATGAAATTAGGAAAGGGCACACAATGGTTATTAAATATTTGTTGGATGTGGATGAATACAAAGGCAGGTCCCACACGTGGCCAGGGGTGGGAGAAAAGCATTCTAGGGAGAGACAATAACAAGTCCAAAGGCCATGGGGCAGGAAAAAGCTTGGCATGTCTTAAAAGCATCAAGTAGACTCTATGAATATTTAGGGGGAAGTATTTAGGAGAACTGTCCTGATGTCTGCGGCTTACTTTAAAAATAAAGTAACGGGGACTGGGAGTGTGGCTCAGTGACAAAGTGCTTGACTATCATGTGCAAGGCCCTGGGTTCCATGCCCAGCACTGCAAAAAATAAAAAGGTAGATGAACGGATAGAGAGTGGGATGGATAAATATATGATAAAACTAGTATAGTATAATATCAATAAAATTTAGTTGATGGATATATACACCTTCACTGTAAAATTATTTCAGTTTTATTTTGTGTTTGAAAAATGTCATATAAATGTTGGAGGAGAAATACCAAGAAGGTGCGAGCAGATTGCATGAGAGGTGGAAGTGGTAGAAGATGAGATCTCAAGGTTCCTGGGCACAGAGGGCCTCAGGAGCCCTGGGGAGACACTGGAGTTTTGTTCCAAGACAGAGGGGGTTTTGGGCAAGGGAGTTTCATGATCTGATTTATGATTTTGAAAGATCCTTCCAGTGTCTCTGGGGAGAAATAACTCTAACGAAGCAAGAGGGGAAGTGAGGAGGGCACGCAGGGGGAAGTAGTGATCTAAACCAAGGTAGCAGCAGAGAAATGTGGTCAGAGTTGGTGGCCCGTTTGAAAGAATTGCTGCTGGTTAGGTCATTGGGGCCCCAGAGCAGCCCCAAGGCTCTGGCCTCAGCAGGCAGGTTCTTGAGAGGGGGAAGATGAGGGGATTAAGTACGGCTGACAGTGGGGGAAGTGGGGTGGGCATGAGAAACCCAAATAACAGATTTGCTAATAAACTGTAGCTGCTATTACTGTTTGTACTGCACACTTACATAACGACATCTGCGAACACATGTGTTCTCACTTAGCTTGTGGCTCAGTGTGGCTCCTCCTCTCCTATTTTGTTTCTTTCCTTTTACATTTTCCAACAACCCTTCCCAACTCCCCACCATCACTTCAGCGCTAGACTCCAGGGAAGGGAAAGGCAAGAACAAGGAATGCAGGTGGCCCCTCAGTGCTTCTCTGAGCCTCAGCAACCCACTGGTTGGGTCAGCACCTTTCTCTAGGAGGAGGGTCTGGGTCCCAGCAGGCCCCAGGGGTGAAGCCATCCGGGGGTGAAGCCATCTGAGCTCTGTCCCGTCTTACACAGTTCAGGCCTTCCTGTCTCTGGTAATCAGGCTGGCAGATAGGTTGTTAACAGGCAGGTTCCACATGTGGCTAGGGATGGGATTCAAAGACGCAGCAGAGATGTGGACAAAGTCTCCACACTGCCCTGACAAGGTGACTGTGTGTCAAGATCTGAGTTCATCGAACCCCGTCAGCTTTCTGTCATTTTCTTCCTCCCTTCCATTCCCTGTGTCAGAATAGCATTTAAAGACATTTCTGGCTGAACTGTTTGAGGCCCACTCCCTGCAGAAGGCCATCTGTCACTGAGGCTAGATGTGTCAAAGCCACTGCATCTCACAGGGCCACAAGCACAGTCTTCTTGAGACGATAGCTTTCAGAGGGGCATGGACATGTGCAGAGTAGAGTGTTGGGGGACTCGAACAAGGTCATGTCTTCCCTCTTCTCTGGTTTTCCATGCTGTCCGTGGCCCTTAGAAGTTTCACCCTCAGCTCAGCCTTTGGTGTTTTGGGACTGGCTTATTTCAGTTAGCATGATAGGAGAATATCATTTGCTGATAAATAGCCATTTATTGGCAAATGCCATAATCAAATATTGTTCTAATGAGGGTTTAAGAGATGGGAACAAGTCAGGCAGTGGAAAATGAGGGTCTGCTATGCCAACTGTCACTGGACACTTTGAGAAATAAGATGACTTGCCTGAGGTCACAGGGTGGGAGTGGATCTGAGCCTAGAACCCCCCGGGCGTCCTGAGCTCCAGGCCACATGTTGTCACCTGGCTTGCCCTGCCTTGCCCTGTAGAAGCCAGGGCCATCTGAGTGAGGCTCCTGGGATGCCCCTCTGCTGATCTCATGAAGCTTTTTCTCTTTCTTGCTTTCCTTTCAGAAGTGGAGCAGATCGAGGCCATTGCCAAGTTTGACTATGTAGGGCGGTCGCCACGCGAGCTGTCCTTCAAGAAGGGAGCCTCGCTGCTCCTGTATCACCGCGCCTCAGAAGACTGGTGGGAGGGCCGTCACAATGGCGTCGATGGACTCATCCCTCACCAGTACATAGTTGTACAGGACATGTGAGTGGGAATTGGGACTTTCTGGGAATAGATTAGTGGTAATAGATTAGTGATGCCTGCAGTGGGCACTGGAAAGGAGTAGTAGGCCGTGTGCTGGCAGTTTGTTCTCCCTGGTATAATATGTTTGATGTTCTGTAAGAACAGGTAAACCTAACTTCCCTTTAAATGATAATCCACTTATTAAATGTGCAAATTGCTCATCCATCAGAGTACACAGAGACTATGTGTTATCTGCCTGCCACTCTGATCCATCTGACAGCCTCCAGGGTGCTTGTTAATTATAGTTCTTAGTGTCCAGTGGATCTTTCCATATTTCTGCACCTTCCTGGGCTTTCTCATAGCTGCTGGCGAGGTCACCATTAACTGCCCACCATCCTCCAATGCAGAGGTGATTCTCTCAGGGGATGGGCAGGAAAAAAAAATGTCCTGGTTTCTGATTAATAAGGAACCATTTTTTACAATTTCAGGGATTAAAATATTTAAAAAACCCACACCCTAAATACCTAGTCCCACCAGGAAGCTCACAAAGTTTACACATTCCATTTCTTTGAAAGCCATTGAAGACTCCTGTGCACACCTTCCCTAAAATCTCTGGCCAGGCTCAGGGGAACTGATTTATCATGGAAATAGACACCAAGCTGAACTTCACAGAAAGGGGACCAAAAGCCTATGTTTTGATAGGAAAGAGGAAGGTCTAAGCCAGAGAACAGGCCAGGGCCAAGCAAACTGTAAGAGGAATAGTGTAGTGGAGGGTTCTTGGCTGATGTCCCCAGGTTTCTTAGGGCAGGAACAAATCATTGGAAGAGAAAGGGCTACGGGGGTTGGGTGGGGGGCAGGGGGAGGCTGCAGGCCTTCACTATAGTTCTATACCTCAGGTGAGGGAGGTGAGGGATAGAAACACCTCTTCCTCCTTTACTTAGTGTGAAACCACTTCTCATGGAGCCACATGGAGGCTCAGCACTCAGAACTTTGAACTCAGTATTTAGATACCACCCCCCGCCCCATCCTTCCAATATGCCTCCTGCATTTAGTTTGTCTCAGCCTGTGCACAGCCTGGGAGAGAAGAACGAGCCAGAGAAGGGGAAAGGAGAAAGTGGGCATGGGTTGCAGGGATAGAAGAGGGTCTCCTGCCAGAGACACGAACTCCAGGAGCGTTGCAGTGGGCATGCATGGCGGGAAGGTGGCTCCTTCAGAGCCGTGGGCACAGTCAGCCATAGGCAGGAGCTCCTCGCAGGTACCAGGGAGCCATGTGCATCCTGGTTCTTGGGAGGGGCATCTCCAATTCACATCTCTCTCCCTCTAGGGATGATGCCTTCTCTGACAGCCTGAGCCAGAAGGCTGACAGCGAGGCCAGCAGCGGGCCACTGCTGGACGACAAGGCCTCCTCCAAGAACGACCTCCAGTCCCCCACGGAGCACATCTCGGATTATGGCTTTGGGGGGGTGATGGGCCGGTAGGAAACATGGGTTCATTTTCTTCCTGCTAGTGCCATGTGGGTTCATGTCTGAACTGGGAGGGGCGAGAGGGCAGGAAGGAGAGAAGGAGGCTTGTGCAGGCCCGGCTCCCCACAGAATATGACATTGGGCACAATTGGTGGGGGGAGGCTGGAGCTGATTGGAGGATGCCAGGGACAAAACAGCATGGTGTTGGGTAGGGGGCTTGAGGAGCAGGAGGAAAGACAAATGCTGGGAACTCAGCACTTTTCATTGGAAATAATGACGGTAAATTAGCACAATTGGCAAGTATTTTTACTCCCCCTGTCCTGCACCTCCTCCCAGCTTTCTGGTGAAAACCAGAGTTGTTATAAAGTACTTTAAAAAACGTAAAGCTCCCATATTCCCCCAAATTGCGCTATATAAACAGAAAATTCCCACCTACTCATGTGGTGGGGGAAGTTGACACTCGGCTCCACCCACTTCTTTGGTGGGAGCAGATTTCCCAATTTCTTCCCTCCCCTGTGTGGGCTGGGCTGTGTCACATGACCTTTATATCAGCAGGGAGCAGCATGCACCTTTCTATGAACCAGTATGGTCCAGAATATGTGGTGGTTAAAAAATAAGAAAAAGAAGAAAAGCTGGCAGTTTCTCACTGCCTTTTTATCCCCCCACATAGGAGTCTCTGAATGTTACTGTTTTTCTAGAAAGGTCATGTGATCAGCCCACATGTGTGGGTATTTGCTCACAGAGCCAAAGAAATCAGCGGCATGTTCTATTCAGTTCAGCAGAAAGGTCGGGACACTGTGATAGGTGATAAAATTGAGGGACTCGAGGAAGCAGGAGTCTGGGGTAGAGAATGAAAAGGTTGTGTGTCACAGAGCCCACCAGGGCCACTCTTCTCCTGCCTCTCTCTTCCTTTCCCCCTTCCCTCTCTCATCTCTTTTTTTTTTCTTTCTTTCTTAATACCTCTTTCTCTCTACACCTCTGCTTTGGTCCTGTTGGGGCACCCACAGGCCTGCTTAGCTTGGCTGGGTGGTAGGGTCTGAAGCGCTACTGACCACACGGAACTTGGTTCCTAGTCACATTCCATTCCCAAGGTACCACCTCTACCTGACCCCTTTTCTCTTCCAGCCTTCCCTCCCCTCACCAGGGCCGCTGGGTCCTTGGTGATTTCCACAGGGTGCAGCAAAACCTTTTATCTTCAAGGTACTCTCAAACCCACTTAAGAGCAGGCAGGGAGTAGTGCCCTCACTCAACAGAACAGAATGGACCTGAAAGAGAAGCCAGGAAACTCGTGGCAGACACAGAGGGCAAGGAGCAGCCCTCCCGATCCACACTCCCACCCCTGTTCACACCCACAGACCTCCCTGAGGTGGGAGGAGTACCCACATGCCCCACAGGCTCATTGAAGATGCAGTGTTTACTCTTAAATGGCCAATTTCCCAAGATCTGGAAAAGCCTTATAGATACCTTTGTCTGGGGAGATGGGGAGTGGGGGACAATAGTGAGTAGATGTTCAGTTCCCAGGGGGGCCCTCCTGTGCTTGCAGGGTGCTGGTGGCTTTTCGGTATAGTCAAGCCTCAATGCTTCAAACCAATTAGAAAGAAGCCTACAGGAAACATGAAAATGTATCATGAGCCCAACTGAGCTTACCCAAGCATTTCCAGGTTGAAATCCTCCTGGTCCCGACTTAATAGTAGATGAGATTCGTTTTGTAATGAGCACCACTGCTGTCTGCAGCTGGAAGCACCGTCCCACACCTCCCCCTGTGGCTGTGTGGGCCCAGTTGGTCCTCTGATGTGGAATTGCACAGTCTGACCAAGTGAGGCTTCACTATACCTGTTCCCTAGACTAGTGTGTAGTGCGTGGCTGTAGTGGGGGTTGGATGGCCCATTCTGAGACTGGCCAGGGTTGACTTCTGCCCCATGCCCCTGCCCCCTGGCTCCTTTGCAGAGTGCGGTTACGATCTGATGGAGCGGCCATCCCCAGGCGCAGAAGCGGGGGCGACACGCACAGCCCACCCCGGGGCCTGGGCCCCAGCATAGACACGCCACCCCGGGCCGCCGCCTGCCCCAGCAGCCCCCACAAAATCCCTCTTACCCGGGGGAGGATCGAGAGCCCTGAGAAGAGGAGAATGGCGACGTTTGGGAGTGCTGGCAGCATCAACTACCCCGACAAGAAGGCGCTCTCAGAAGGGCACTCCGTGAGGTCCACCTGCGGCTCCACCAGACACAGCAGCCTGGGGGACCACAAGTCCCTTGAGGCTGAGGCCCTGGCAGAAGTAAGGGCCCGGGGAAGGCAGCTAGGCCAACAGAGACCTCCAGAGAGGGGGCGGGGTAGGAACCTGCCTTGTGGAAGTGCCCCCTGGCCTTTGCCAGACTTAAGGTTAAGCCAGAGAATAAGAGAGTGAGCTGGCTTCCCTTCTCTTGCTGGGCCTTCCCTTGGGGGCACAAGTTGGTTGGATACAGCTGCTGGCTGGGGATTCTGTAAAGGCTGAAAACTCCCCAATGTCCAAAGATGGGATTGGCTGGATTATGGGTATGGGGCAATGGCAGGTCTCTCTGCAAGATGATATGGCTGAGTTCATCCATCCATCCCGTCATCCTTCCATCCATCCATCTGTCATTCATTCCTTTATTCATTTATTGACAAATATCAATTGAGCATCTATTATGCTATGCTAGGCATTGAAAGTACAGTGAAGAGCTGAAATAGACTTTGGCCCTGCTCACATGGAGATTGTGATTTAGAGAGGGGGAAGAGAGAGCTTGCAACCAGGAGATGCACACAGCCTTGAAATGCCAGTGAGCTTGTTAACCTGTACCCTGAGTGGAGTTCAGGGAAGATTCCAAGGTAATACCCAACACAAACAAGACACCCAGCCACTGGAACTCCTGTCCACAGCCCCAGGGTCTGGCTTGGGCCATGCCCAAATGCCCACTCCCATGGCATCCCTGGGTCTGGTGCCTTGGCATGAGTCAAGCAGAAGAGCCAAGAAATTTGTTGCTTCTCCATCCTCCAAGGCTGGCCATCCTCTTGGGAAACATCCCCAGCCCCCCACCATCATCTGGACACTATACAGGTTGGAAGCTCTCTCAGTCACAGTAGGGGTAGACAACTACCTGGCCCAGAGCCCTTTACATAAAGAGTCCAATGCAGTCTAGGGCCCAGTTTCTAAAAGTGGGTCCCACCACAGACAGCTTCCATGGGATGTCAGTGGGATGGGGCAGTACTCTGTGGTGCAGTTGGAGGATGTGGGTCTGATAAAGTCATAAGGCTTAGAGAAGCCAAGATTTCTCAGCAACATAAAATAATGTCCAGGTGATGTGAATATCCCACAAAGGGAACAGGGCACACCCCACCTCCCAGACTTCTTTTACCTTCATTTATTTATTTGTTCATTTATTTTCAGTACTGGGGATAGAAGCCAGGGATGCTCTGATACTAAGCTACATCTTCAGCCCTTTTTATTTTGAGGCAGGGTGTTGCTAAGTTGCTCAGGATGGCCTTGAACTTGTGATCTCCTGCCTCAGCCTCCCAGTGGTCAGCCCTTGATTCACATAGCATTTTGCAAGCCCAACCCAAGGAGTGCACTTGGGGAAATGCGACCCATGTTCTCTGTGGGCAATGATATCTACACACTCTAATAGCTGAATTCAAGAGCTCTTTTCACTGACTGAAGTAAAATAGGAGCTCACAATAAACAATTTGTAAACAGCTAAGATGACACAGGATAGGCACCAGCCTGTTCATCATCAGCTCTGATGAGTCCTTGACTTTGCAGCCTATGAAGGGGAGGGATGGCATGCAAAACCCTGAGTATTAGATGGGCTTACCCCAAATTTTCTAGTCTCAAAATGTTCTTTAGGATTTAGATTTGAAACCCAATTAGGAACTGTGTGACATTGTCATCAAAAGTGAGACGGTCTCATTTGGGAGGAGGTGAAAAGCGGCTGCCTTCCCTGCTCTGCCCATCCCAGGTTCCTCTGTGCAGCTCCTCTCTGGAGACTCGCTCATCATCTGTCGGACTAATGCAAGGCTCCAGCCTAAACCGCTTGGCTCATCTTTCTCTGAGCTTTCTGTCTTTCTGGCTCACTGTGCCAGGGTACAGTGGTGGTGGCAGCAGGAGGGATGGAGGTGGAGGGATGAGAATTACATTTTATTTGTTGAAGTTTTGCCTTTTAGAGCCACCAGAGGGAGCAGTGAGGGCAACTGAGAACTTAATTCCAGCAGAGCTGGGGACACTGGAGCAATTCTTGAAAGTGTCCCTGAAGGGTAGGGAGGTAGCAAACAGGGGGAGAATAGCCATCTCTCCCTTCCAACAGAGAATCTCCTGCAACTGATTTTATATATATATATATATATATATATAATATGTATTTAGGATTTAGATTTATATGATCATATATATATTTATATGATCTCATATATATATATATATATATATATATATTTAATTGTAGATGGACACAATACCTTTATTTTATTTATTTATTTTTATGTGGTGCTGGGGATCGAACTCAGTGCCTCACACATGCTACGCAAGTGCTCCACCACTGAGCCCCAGCCCCATCCCTGTAACTGTTCCTTTTTAAATTTGCCGGGGTTCTGGGGCAAGGGATAAAATATCGTGGGAAACATAAAAGTTGATGCCTGTTATTTGGCCTGGGCAGGCAGGGGCTGCCTGTAGACCAGGGAGAGGAGAGAATACAGAAGCCTGGGGTCAGCTACATCTCCAGGCTCCAGCCCCAACTGCCTCACTAGACTCCTATGTGTTTTTCAGGATGGGCCTCAGGATTTGCAGAGGAGCAAGCAGGACTTAATAATCATCCCTCCTCACTGAGGTTGTGCACAGCACCTGCCAGCGGTGCTTTTAAGCAGTGTCCCCTCATGGTGTCCTCAATGGCCAAGCCATAATGCTCTGGCCGGGTTCTGGCTCTGCAGCTCCTTTGGTACCTGTGGGCCATGGAGGCATCCCGGCAAATGACCATGTGACCCAGAGACAGTGGGGCCAAAAGGAGTTGGAAAACCATTGTCTGGTAGTTTACAGAGCTTCATGACATCCATCATCTCATTTCATCTTCCCAGTGAATGTGTGGGCTTTTAACAAATGAACAAAATCCAGTGCAGGGTGACCGAGACTTGCCCAAGGTCACAGAGTCAGCAAGTGGCTGCAGTCTTTTCATTCAAATCTGCAGGGCCTTGTGCCCTGGCCAGAGGCTCCTGGGTTCATGTTGTCCTCCAGCTCCAGCCCTGCCTCTGGCTTGAGGAGGCCAACACCTGGGATGACTGGCGCCAGGCTGGCCTGAGCTGGCGACCAACTCTGTGTCATTCAAAGTGCTCCCATCCTGAAAAGCTCTCAAATATTACAATGTTTCTGAGAATTACATATCAAGTAATTTTTCTTTTTTTTTTTTTTCAATATTATTGTGTTTTTTTTTTTTTTTTTTATTTTTAATTTTTTTTTTAATATTAGTTTTCGGCGGACACAACATCTTTGTTGGTATGTGGTGCTGAGGATCTAACCCGGGCCGCATGCATGCCAGGCGAGCGCGCTATCGCTTGAGCCACATCCCCAGCCCTCAAGTAATTTTTCTATAGGCAAGGATGATCTTTTTTTTCCCCCTTGGTACTGGGGATTGAACTCGGGGGCACTTGACCACTGAGCCACATCCCAAGCCCATTTTTGTATTTTATTTAGAGACAGGGTCTCACTGAGTTGCTAAGTACCTCACTGTTGCTGAGGCTGATTTTGAACTCCCAATCCTCCTGTCTCAGCCTCCCAGGCTGCTGGGTCAAGGATGATTTTTGAATTAAAAAAAATAACACATGTGCTCACTTCGGCAGTACATATACTAAAATTGGAACTATACAGAGAAGATTAGCATGGCTCCTGCGCAAGGATGACACGCAAATTTGTGAAACGTTCCATATTTAAAAAAAAAAAAAGTTAAATAATGGTACAAATTTATGAAGTTTTGATACATCCATACCTGGAATAGTGATGAAGGATTTTTTTTTTAATGAAAAATGATTGGGGCAGGGCCTCTGGAGTCAGACTATCTGGGTTCAGATTTGGGCTTTGCCACTAATAGCTGTGTGATCTTGGGCAAGTTACTTAACCAGTCCGAGCTTCAGTTTCCTCATATGTGAAACAGTGGTTGCTACCTTGTAAGAATGGGGATTAAATGACTTATGAGTACAAAGGATTTGGGTTGGTGCTTACTGTCAAGTGTTAATGCTATTGTGGTTGCACTACTACTTTTGAGTGTTTATGTGTGTTAGGTGTTATGTCATGCTCTTTGCAGAGATCATATCACTTAATACACTCATCAACTCTGGGTTTAGTATTAATTATAATTATCTCTAAATTGCAGAAGAGGATTCTGAGGCTCAGAGAGGTAAGGTCACTTGCCCAGGGTCATACAGCAAGGAAGTGTCAGAGGCAGAATTCGAGCATCTGGCTGACTCTGGTAGTCTGACCTGCCTTTACTAATATACTTCCCATACATGGGACACCCACATTGATCCTCCCATTTAATTTTAAGATGCCCTGGGGACTTATTCTCCACCCAGGCCATGAGGCTCCTGTGGGAACCTCAAGAAGGACCACGAGCTGGTTAGCAGCCCAGGACCCGACGCCTGCAGTCTCTGTGCTGACTGGAGCTCTCTCTGTCCCCAGGACATCGAGAAGACCATGAGCACGGCTCTCCACGAGTTGCGGGAACTCGAGAGGCAGAACACGGTCAAGCAAGCGCCAGATGTGGTGCTGGACACGTTGGAGCCCATGAAGAACCCTCCAGGCCCCATCAGCTCAGAGCCCGCCAGCCCCCTGCACACCATCGTCATCCGAGACCCGGATGCCGCCATGCGCCGCAGCAGCAGTTCCTCCACCGAGATGATGACCACCTTCAAGCCAGCTCTGTCCGCCCGCCTGGCTGGCGCCCAGCTGCGTCCGCCCCCGATGCGGCCTGTGCGGCCCGTGGTCCAGCATCGGTCCAGCAGCAGCAGCAGTTCCGGGGTGGGCAGCCCTGCTGTGACGCCCACGGAGAAGATGTTCCCCAACAGCTCCACAGACAAGTCGGGCACCATGTGACCTGCTGGGTGGGTGGCACCAGCGCGGCCCACTGTGGCCCGCCATGGCCTAGCCTGGCCTCGGTGGCTTCTACTTGCTTCCCAGTGATGCTGGCCTTGTGAGGCAGAGCTTGGAGGGTCAGCTGGGAGAGAGTATGTGTCTGTGGAGAGCAGAGGCCCAGGCGCTACTGCGCTCACGCTTGGCCATGCGAATCCCACAGACCTGTGTGCAGACAGACACCCCGGGGAGTGCTGCAGCAAGAGCCTGAGTTCAGTGTCTCCCCAAAGTGAGGCAAGATGCCAAGTGGCTTCTCCCGCATATCGTCACTGGAAAATGATCCTCGACATCCTCTCTACATACGTATATATGTGTGTGTGTATATATGTGTATATATATATACGCATAGACATGTATGTATGTGTAGGTGTCTGTGTATATATAAATATTTATGCATCTCTATACATACTAGATCTGGACTTACATGTTAAATGTATATAGGATCTCCTTTTTCTTTTTATGAAACTTAGATTTACCTCAGACCCATGCCACCTGACATCTCCCGCTGAGTTATTTGGTGGGATTTGCAGGGACTTCTCTGGGAGAACTTAAGAGGCCCCACAGTAACTGCAAATGAAGCAATATACCACTCACCTGCAGAAAAACAGTCTCCCACTGTCTCCAGAAGTCGTGGCCTTCCAGAACAGTCTGCCCCTAAAGGCAGGGTGGGGCAGGCAGTACCCCAAGCAGGCGGGGAACCCTTCAGAGAAAACCCTCCGTCCACCCCAGAGACCCTGCCCTTCCATCCGGAGGCCCAAGGCCAACTGTACCCCCCAAAGGCACGGGAGGAAGTTGGCAAGAAGATCCCTGACCACAGCATCCTTGTGTTTGTATTGTAGAAACAGGGGACAGCAAGACCCTAAACCCCATCGTAGCACAGTATTACATGTGGTTGGGAAAAAGGAAAAAAAAAATAATACAGTGGTGTGAAATACTTCAAATCCTAGAAATGCTGTAGGAATAAATCTGTGGTAACTATAGAGGTTTAACTTATATCTTCAAAATATTTAATTTTTTTCTTTTCCTGGTTCTACTAATTATACTGTGTCAGATTCGGAACTCAACAGGCAAGGAGGCTTTCTGAGTCACATCATTTTCATATAACATTGGGCTTGACACACTTCGGGTCTTGCCCTCTTGCATGAAGCACGTGAGCTATAGGTGCCCCAGTCAGAGGGAGGCCCAGGAGGGGCCAGGGAACACCATAGGTTGGTTGAGTTTATGCAAGTGAGATCACTTCCTGCCCTCCCTTCCCCTGCTCCCTCCAGAGCATTTAATGTAGGTGAAAATGTGTTTTTCAAATATAAGGAGGAAGGCTTTTGCCTCTTGGCTGAAAAAAAGCTTTCCAAGTTGTTCTTCTCTGCTTCCATTTGACATCCTCTTCTGATCGCTCTGTTTTCTAGAGATGGCTGTTTCTGGGTAATGGAGCACAAATCTGATCCTAATGAGATGGACCACTTTGACTTGCTCCCCCCTCATGCCAAACCAATGGTCTTTTCGTTATTGTTCTCAGGCTTTCTCTCTCTTCTCTCAGCCTCTGGGGTTTGGAGTCAGAAGTCCAAAATTTCAGTCCCGGTCCCCAGCACTCAGGAGCTGTGAGACTTTGGGCATGTCACTCCACTTCACCAAACCTCGCTTTCCTGCCCCATAAAATGAGGCTGATAAAGATAAGCGAGCAAACTAAATCAACTGGAAAGCCCTGTACTGATGCTATTGCTGTTATTATCATTAGAAAGGTGAGTCTTTCAGACCCTAAAACCATCCAGACCTTCTGGAAAGCTCCTAATGGCATTTGAGAAGTGGGTCCTGGAATTTCCCTGCCAGCTTGCAGTATCATCATTAGCATCTCCCCCCCATTGGTTGAAGTTTGCCCTCTCCTGTGGTCCTACATGAAAAGGTAAACACACTGGGAGAGACCTAGTGAGTCTCTGACACCTGGATGTGTGGGTACAGGAAGGCATTCTGCCTTGTCTCTGGACTGGCCTTGAAACCACACTGTGGAAGGAGGAATCAAGAAAGGCTGTACCAGGAAGAGGCCAGTGATGAATTTGACCTCCCTTGTTTTGCCGAGAGAGCCCCCAACCCTTCTCCTTTAGCTCCTGATATGAAAGGCTCTCTGCCTTTGTGCACATAGACAACCCCTTTTACAGTGTAGGAGAGTTAGGCCTGGGGGTGTGCTGGGACCTGCCTAAGAGGTGACAGATGTCTGAGAGTAGGGCTCTGTCAGGCACTGGATGTTGTTCATTTGCAAGGATTCTGTACCGTCCAGCCAAGTTGTAGGAATTCTCATCTCCAGCCCAGAGATACTCCCAGACCTTAAATCTCTGCCACAAATACCAGACGAGAAGCAAAGATTTAAGCAGACAGATCTATTCCCTGATATATGTAGCACCAGTCAAGCTATGTAGATCGTTCTCTGGAATTGACAGCTTCCGTTTTCCTTACCAAAAAGGGACCTGCCTTTCCCAGACTTAACTTGAAGGTTTTTGTTAAGCACCTATTTTTCCCCCCAGTGGAAAAATGACAAGTTCACATATGGGGAAGTAGGCACCCAGATGGCAGATGATGCCCCTCTCACCTGGCCCCTTGATCAGAGCCCCATTGCAGGACACAAGGGAACACACTGTCCTTGCCACCCCTTTCCTCATCCGGCACTGCGCATGCCTCAGCCTCCCTTCACATCACTCAGCCCAGCAACGTCCACTGGGCATCTCGTCTCAGCTCCTGCCTGTTGGAGTCCACTATATATTGCTGTATTTGCTTAAATGCTGGAAAGTAACTGTTAAAAAATGTGAAACTGTACTTTTTTAAAAAGGCTACAATTAAATTCTAGCCAATGCCACTCACCAAATCTTCGCACCTAGTCGTAGATAGATCAATGTAAAAACCAATACCAGAAACCTAACTGTACAGTGGGTGTGGGGGTAATGTAGTAACCTAGTTAGTAGTCCTCAATATAACCAATTGTACAAGGGGAAGTGGTGTTTATCTACCTGTTCATCACCATTATTGAAAGCTGTACTGATCAGCTAGTTGATAACGGGCATTTTTTTGTTGTTTTGTTTTGTTTCGTTTTGTTTTTGGCTTCACGGAATGGCTTACCCTGAGGTCAAGCCTTTTGTCTTTATGTAGAACTGATGTTCAGGAATGAACCAGCAAGATGTTCATTTAAAACTGACCAAAGACGATTAATTCCTGGTCTAGTTTCCTGGGCCTCATGGCCCAGCAGCCGCTTGAGACCTTTCGTGGACAAAATTGAGAACAAGCCGTGCTTCCGACCCCATGCCCCCTCCCTATACCCTCTTCTGCCCCTTTCCTCTTAAAAGAGCTGCTCTGAGCTGTGGGATTCTATGAAAAATTCTTGCCTTTCCTTGTTTTCAGTGCTAACGATTTCTCACCTCGAAGCGCCTTTTGAACCCCGGACAGAGCGCACAGCTGGAGGGAGTTGTGGGTTTGGGAATGAGACTCGGGAGTCTTTTCTCTGAAGTCACCAGGCCAGGGGTCAGGAGAGAAATGGATTCCCAAGGGACGAAAGGTTTCTATTCAATGAAGAAATCGGAGTGGGAAGAGACACAGGGAAATTGAGCCATTCTTTGGCCACTGGCTGGAACCAGCAGTTCAGAGATCTGCCTTATAAACAGACACTTCAAACTGGCTTGTGGTGCACAACGGGGAGCCAGTGTGGGAAAGGGCCTCTTTGCAGGGCCTCCTTCTCTGCTGGCATCTCCTGGAGTGCCTTGGTGGGTATATTTCTTTCTCATTCAGGAGGCATGGATGTGGGGACTTCTTGTGACCTGGTCATCATTTGTCTCACCGTGCGTGCACAGCTGATAGGCAACCACAAGGACTAACGTGCACAGGTTCTTCCTTTCAGTCCTTCTACTCCTAACTTTTCACACATCCAGATGGGTCCACACTAGAACAAATGCCTCATTCTCCTGAGAAACCCAGAAAGAAGACAGGCTGGCTCACAGCCACAGTGGTGGCCCCGTTGGGCTGGGAGGGAGTTGGGTGGTGGGGGAGAAGTCAGAAAGGGGTGAGCCGAGGTGTTGCTTAGCTGATTTTCTGCTGTGCAGAGCTAATGCTGAAGTTTCATGTCAATTTCCCCGGTTCTCTGGGGTCTCCTCTCTTCTGAGCAGCCTTGTAGAGAATTCCCCACATACCCAAAACTGCCCAGGGGAGCTGAGAGAAGGGACTTTGCTGTCAGGTCTGAGTCCTCCTGGCCTCTCTGAGGTTGATCTGCCAGTGTCCCGCTGTCCCATCCTCTGGGACTGGCCAAATGGCCACCGCTGCCCCTTGCTGACACCTCCTTTTTGTGTGAACTGTCCCAGACAAATAACAAAGCTATTCTTGAACCAGCGTGCACTTTGCCTTCCTTCAATGGAAGTCGATCCTGGCTAGAGTTTCTGCTCAGGCCCTTGTCCCGGCAGTGTGACTGTTTACATGGTTTGGCAATAGGTTTGGTTTTGATTGCTTCAGAGTGGCTGGTCTATTTTGTTTCCTTTGGTTTTTCTTCCTCCCTCAAATTGTGACAGGAAAAACAAACAAATTGAAACCACCCTAGGAAATTGCTGGTTGCCTGTCCCCACGTGATGAAAAGTGTCGCCCTTTTCCAGGTGTCGTTTCTCTACCTTGTGACCAAACGCCCGTCCTCTAGGAGTGTCTGATATGGATCCTCTGTTGCGTATTCTGATGGTGCCTGCTGGTTTGACGTGGAGCTAGCCTGTGAAATAAAACAGCTTAACTTTTCTCAAACTTGCTCTGGTGGTTATTGAAAGGCACATCCGATGGGGTGGAGAGGTCCTGGTGGTGGTGGTCGGGGGTGGCCCTTCCTACTCTCCAGCCTGCTCTGTCTGCATGTTTCCCCAGGTAACCATCTCTGAAGTGTCCTTTAGTTCAGATCCAACAAGGTGAAGGTCAAGGATCACTTGGATGGAGAGCTAGTTGAAGAAGGTAACTACTGAAGGTCTGCTGGGAAAACAACTGGAAATGTCAAAGCAAAGGCCAACTGGGAGTGGGAGCTGTCATCAGCAGAAAGTGTTTTTAAAAGTATATGACAAATTGCCAGAGACCACAGGGTACTGATTTCTAATGTCACGGCACATACAACATTTTAGTGTTTATTTTCCAAACGTAAGTGCTATGGCCTCTGGGACCTTTTTGTCCCCCACCCCAATCTGTGTATGTTCTGTTCGGAGACCATTTATTTCTGTCCCAGGCACTGGTTTACACCTTTACATGCATTTTCTCGTTTAACTCTCAAAATAGCCATTGAGGGTTAAGTACCATGATTGTACTCCATTCTGCTGAAGAAGAAACAGGTTCTGAGAGGTTAAGCAGCCTGCCCAAAGTTAGTTTGATTTGAACCCCATCTGTCCAACTCTGAAGTCCTGTCGGACTCCATATTCTTTACGAATGTATCCTATTGTTCCTCGTTGTGTGTGCCTGTGACAGATCTCACAGTTAAGGTAAAGTCAGGGCAGATTCCTGACCTGTCCTTTCTGGGCAGATGGATCTTCACATGAGGGCCTCTTTGCAGGAGAGAATGAACGGGGCCTTTTTCCGGAAGCAGCTCTGTCGTCATTTCTACCTTGCTCAGTGGTGGCCTCTTGCTGATTCTAGACTCCTCTGCTCCTGAAAGCACACATTTGCTATGCATTCCACAGTCTGTTTATTTCCTCCCAGCAATAGCACTCATTTGAGAATCCCAAATCAGAGGCTTTCATTCATTCATCAAGAAAGGATGGAGCATTTTTGTGTTTTGCCCCAAGTGAACTGATGGGGACACAGATGGATGAGACCCAGCTTCTA